CCACAACGTACCATAACAAATTGCCACATCCATGGGAGAGCCTATTAGACTATCGACGAGGCTAGCGCCCTTGCAGAAACATTAAAACAGCAACAAGCTGTGACTGAGCTGTGGTTCATAGAACGCATATAATGCTCATAGAAAGAATACGCTGCCGCGGACGCTGTCACGTCTCCGATCTACGCATTTCATTCCTCTAACCGGTCCTTCCAATCAACTACTAACTCGTTGACGCGACAGCGTTCGGCCTCTATTTGCAATAAATATCCTACAGACATCACAACAATGAACAATATGCTTGCAAGTGAGTGGCCTTCAAGTCGTCTAACTCGCAATGTCACGTGATGCGAATATTCACTTAAGCTACATCAAACTCGTTCTTAGGAAAGCTCTTGCGTTCTTGACCTTTCTTGTTCTGCAGATCGCTTGAATCTTTTGCTACCATGAAAAACTTATAGGCGAAATAGTCCAGTCCCTAATATGGTGATATTAGCGGGGAAACGCGATTTTGATCAGTCCCTGTAAATAATAATGGTAGAATCACAACTTCTTCACTCCTACACTGCATTTCACTTTCTGTCCTACTTCCGTGTAGCTGTCTGCCTTCGGGTTTTCGTAATGGGAATATTCACTTACCCCTATGCAAACTCCCAGCCCCATTCAGAATTTGCAAAAATTGACAAAATTGATAGATAAGAATATCATTACAAACAGCTATTATATCCGTAGTCAGCGTAGCCTATGACATCCGCCCCGCCCCGAAACGCGTGCGTGCAAAGGTCGTTCCGGTCGGTACATTAAAGGAGTTTTCTATTCAGAAGAACATACATATACATACAGATAAGCATTCAACATTGTATATGAGATTATCTTATATATAAAGCTGAATGTCTGTTTGTATGTCTGTCTGTATGTCTGTCTCTCTGTACGTATGTTCCGAATAGAAAATTCCATTTCTGAACCGATCCGGACCAAACTTGGCACACATACACTACGGGCCCCGGCGGGTGTCATAGGCTACTTTTCGTCATCGATCGATATCGATTTTATCGATTTTTATCGATTTTTTTGCTGAGTTGACCTACGGGGCTGGGAGTTGGCACAGGGGGGTAATCGAGCATGGGGATTCCGAATACAATATTGGTTTTCAGGATTATCGATTACTTTTATCGATTTTATCGATTTTTTTGCAAAGTTTGAGCTACGGGGCTGGGAGTTCGCACAGGGGGGTAATCGAGCATGGGGATTCCGAATACAATATTGGTTTTCGGGATTATCGATTACTTTTATCGATTTTATCGATTTTTTTGCAAAGTTTGAGCTAGGGGGCTGGGAGTTGGCACAGGGGGGTAATCGAGCATGCTGATCATCCCCAAGGGGAGTGATCAGCATGCTCGATTACACCCCTGTGCCAAATTCCAGCCCCCTAGCTCAAATTTTCAAAAAATCGATAAAATCGATAAAAGTAATGGACGATCTTGAAAACTAATATTGTGTTCGTAATCTGCATGCTCGATTACCCCCTGTGCAAACTCCCAGCCTCGCAGGTCAAACTTTACAAAAAAATCGATAAAATCGATAAAAGTAATGGACGATCCTGAAAACTAATATTGTGTTCGTAATCAGCATGCTCGATTACCCCCCTGTGCAAAATCCCAGCCTCGCATGTCAAAATTTACAAAAAATCGATAAAATCAATAAAAGTAATCGATAATTCTGAAAACTAATATTGTATTCGGAATCCCCATGCTCACTTCCCCCCCCCTGTGCCAACTCCTAGCCCTGTAGGTGAACTCTGCAAAAAAATCGATAAAAATCGGTAAAATCGACATCGATCGATAACGAAAAGTGGACTGTGACACCGCCGGGGCCCGAAGTGTATGTGTGCCAAGTTTGGTCCGGATACGGCGGAGCCGGGTAAGCCAGCTAGTACTGTATATTTTTAGACTATCGCCCACACAAAATCATCAACTTTATGAAGCAGACCGAAACAGAATCGCGAGATTTGATGCACGCAAAAAACTTACTGTTTTGATCCGGTCATGGAATCGGTCCAGATCAAATCCAGCTCGAAAAGGATTATTTGCGCTGCTTGTGGGCGAATGCACATGGCCAGTCGACGCGCAAATTCCTGACTGAAAAATTCCTAGCCTGATGTACTGAAGGAATCAACTCACTGAGTACTAACAAAAAAATAACTCACTTCGAGCTTTGCCTAACTGGTAATCGCCCAGCTCCGGGTAAGTAACTGAGACCCGATGGTGGGTATTTCGTTTCGATTTTTAACCTAAAGCAGTGCATTGTGCAGAAGCTTGGCATACGTCGAGAAAGTAGAACAAACTTTAACGACAGCCGATGCTTTCTTGACATTGCTCTTGCATGGCTGATATTTGCATACCAATGCATTTATGGTCACCGAGTTTCTATGGGATTCGTTTTCCTCAGTGTTGGAGCCCGCAGCAGCGGGTTCAAAGGTGGTCGCTTTAGCCGTTTTCATTGTGACTTACGCGGACCTCTGTCGCATTCCCTTCACATCGCTTCACACTAAATTCTTTTTTATTGTTTAGGAACTGGGTTAGTAACATAATTATAGGCACGAGTAATGAAAAAGTTTTTTTGATGAATGAACGGCACAAAGCTAGTTAGTAGCTTTCACTGGCCAAAACCTACCAATGATTTTCTCTTAACACGTCCTCTCAACGATGATAGATACTATCGAAGGGTCGTAAGATTAGCCTAAATTAGTTAAATATAGGAATTTGTACTACGCTTTCTTCTTTTCTTTCTTCCCCTCTTGAAGAGTAGAAAACTCGCCCAGCTCAGACAGTTGGAGCGTGCGGCGCACGCGCCTTTATGGTCGATGCGGCAAAGCGCGTGTCTTATTTGTGGGCGTGTCCGGCAGTACGCCAAACGCGTGCCATGCTAGATATTTGGTGCGCGCCGCGCGCGTACTAATGGCCAACACCGCGGCCCGCGCGCTACGTTTATGTTCGATTTCGCGACCCCCGTGCTCAATTTTTTAGCACGCCGCGCGCGTGCCTTTATACTACACCCGTGCGGCCCGCGCGCCTGCAATTATCACGTGCTGTAAGCGTAAGGGATACCCGCGTAGTGTACGACGCAGGGTCAGGCTGCCTCATCATCCAGGAGATTTGATATCACATCTTAATGTATGAGTAGTTGCAGAAACAGAAGTTGTTTTTTGCTTCCAAACGTCAACCCTCGGTAGCATTGTGAGTGGGCGCTGGAAACGAATTCTTGGATTCGAATAAGAATTCATATTTTTGGCGTTTGAAGTGTGGATCTGATCAAGAGCTGCGACATATAGCGCAATGAGAAACCTGGGAAATGGCAGCCATCCGCGGACCAGCAGCAGCGGCGCGGCATCCAATGTCCCGCCATCCGCGGACTGGGTGTTGCGCCACCCTGTGATTGCACGCGCGCTGCACGCTCCAAGTATCTGAGAGCATAAGGAAAAAGGTGGCAAAATGACCATTTCCAAACAATCTTTCTCACTTAGGGAAGGCAATGCTTTTATCGAGAGTAAACTGCTTGTATTGAAAAATGTAGCTTAGAGCTGCGAAAAGAATCTCTTAAGTGCAGAATGCTAAAAGTTATGAGAAAATGTATTAATTAAGTACGTTTCTGGATGACACTCAAGAATAAACGAAGAGCATAAAGTACAACACTTCCAAAATTCAATAACCTTTCTCGGAGTAGGAAGATTTTATCACATATTTTGGTATAACAAAATGTAAATTTCTTGCGCAGGTTTGAAGATATAGAACGAGTTCACACATGACTTGGCTGAGGGTACGATATTATTGAGAACATGCACTTCCGTGCATCCAATGAGTTCGATAAGAACGAACTTGCGAATACGGTTTTGATATACATAAATTTCCAGTACTTGGATCGGTAAAGTATGATAACTAGAAAATAGAGAAACATACCGTTACAAGAGATCCAGCAACACAATACTGACGGAATAGGCGGTTTTTCAAATCGCCACATTTTCAGTCATCTTTACATTTTCCAAGACAGCTGCACTGTGTCTGCAGCCGCTTAGCTCTCTAAAAAATTCACAACACTAATTGCAAAAAAAGCTCATCAGATTCACTTGATCCTACTAAATACACGCTATAACAATCCGCGGTTAGGATTAGTTGGATAGTAGTAGATATGTGGGAAGTAAGAGATGTAGATTTGAATACCGTACATGGCTCAAAAATAAAATTGATATTTTCCCGCCGCAAACACGGCTGAAGATAAAATTAATGTTTTCCCGCCTTGAGATGATTAGTCGTACGATATAAGACATTTTTTGTGCGCCGTGTTCGTGCTTTGATTTTGACGGGAAAATCTAAAGTCTGTGCATTCTGCTGCTCATCTAATTCACTATTTCATGTTGGTAATCTGAAGAAAGCCTGGTCAGAACTCTATTTTCTATCCTTGTTTACCTTATCTTTCCTTTAAGGAGTATCCGAATTTGACTCCAATGTCACACCTTTAAAAATAAGGTACTAGCCTTACTATTCTTCTCATTCTTACTTTTCTCAATGAAATTTTGGCGATTGCTTCTCTTTGATATGCTTATATTTGTCCTGATTCCTCCTGTTATTATATACCTGTTTTACTCTCGCTCATGTTGTCTTTTGGGTCTAGGCATATATTGTTGTTAATTGTTTGGGCTACAACTATTTATCCTCTCCACCTTCCCGAAGGGATGCAGCGATCTGTGCGGCCCTTGCGGTCATACAGTCAGCTGCAGTCAGCTGCGGTCTGCTGCAGTCTGCTGCGGTCAGTGCGGCAGTCTGAAACAACCCTCAGGAATACGGCGCGGGCGCTTGACATGTTCGATGCTAACGATAAGTAGTAGAGAGTACTGAGAAAGTCTTGCTAGAATACAAAACATAACCCGATTTGCCATAGATACCATTCGCGCGCATACTGCCTTTTCAAGCATGCACAAGCAAAGTCATAAGTTTTTTCCGTTACAGATGCGAGAACTCCATCTCACGCCCAGAAGTTATGCCCAAAATCAGGAAACGCCCGCCAGATTCTCGCCTGAGGCTCAAAAAGAAGCAAAAAGGAAAGTCGCTTCAGTCAGTAGGTAATAGCTTTGCTTCAGTCACAAGATGAGAACATCAACTATCTTTCAGGTCAACAAGTTTGAAATACTCTCTGCTTCCATGGGCCGTCGGTCTGACTGTGATCTGTGTTGAGGTTGGGTTCCCTGTAAATCGTGTAGATTTCAGATTTGATATTATTCTTACAGATTTTTACTTTTCGCTCCAGCCTTGGATTCTTTTTCTTTGGTAATTACCTTCCTCATTCAGTAGTGGTCTTCTTCGAGTACGTATTCTTTGTGTACCTTCTCAGTGTCATCCTTTGGATAACATATCAGATTGTGAATAGAAAGTTTCATACAACCTTGCCTGGTTAGCTGCAGTCAACCCCTTCACTTTTCGTAGTAATTCTCATTGAATGTTTAGTCAATTATGGCATGATTGTGCCTTCGCAACTGTCACATCCTGTCAGCAAAGCTGCTACTAAATCACCCGCATTAGATACCTCAAGTAGAGCGGATACCTCTTGGGTGGAAGATCACAATGTCGGGACTATGTCAGCATTTTTACCTCAGAGCCGTCAATCGCACATCAGTCCCAATCGGTCGTGAGTTTCAACCCTTTTTTACGTTTTCTCTTCCTTACTTATCTGTTTTCCTTCTATGTGCTATTATGTGCGACAACAATTTTGATGCACTTAGTTATGAGCAAAATGCTTTAAGGCAACGTCCACAAATCTAAGGTTGGCGAGATTTTGGTGCAGTAGCGGAATCCCTAAGCAATTGCCCAAGTCTCGGTGTAATAGGTTACTTCGAAGCGACAATATTGCTCCAGAAGCTGGATGCTGCTGGGGTTGCCAAGCCTACAAGCGTGGGCTATCCAGAAGCTTGAGCCAGGAGTGGGCTCTAATAGCTGCAAATGTCAAAAATGTTCTTTTTGTAGAAAAGACTTTTTTAACATCTTTAGGCATTAAAGTATAGTTTCGGATTAATTACCTCTAAGGCTTGATACATACCTCTCTATACGCAGCAGTGGCAGCAACGCATTTATCGTTTCATTTATCGTTAGCGGCTGCAGCGTGAGGCAACAGCCTCACTCTGCAGCCGCTAACGCAAAAGGTCATGTCCATACCTAGCGACTCATTTTTGAGCAGTGTTGCTCATGCTGATCAGAGCTAATCAGCGCTGCACTAGATTTTGCAGCTGACTTACGGTCATGAACGTTAACCAATTCAACCTAAGACCATCATACTAGGACTTTAGAGGCGGATATGGGGAAATATTGATATAAACTGGAGAGACATACTGAATGAAGTTGAAGAGATGTGAAGTAATCAAACTGACTACAAAATGACAATAATTTAAGGAACTGGCGGTCACTGATGGTCAGGTAAAATGTTGCCACCAGTGGACTCCGATCATGTCATTGCCTGAGGGACACTCTCATATTTCTGGGATAGCCATTGCGACTCATTCGACTCAAGTACTTAGTTAGGGCCTCGATATCATACTGCATCGAATTTCGCCAATGTGGGATTCGAGTAGACAGTGCCTTTGACTGACGGCTACACTTTTGTTACACTTGTGTCAGAAAGAGCCCATTTGGTGTGGCACCATATCGGTTTTTGGGTGTTTTTGGTTAGATGAAGTCGCTAGTGCTCACCTGACTCAAGCGGTATACACAATTCAACTTTTCTGCAGTCCAACTTGTTTCAGACTTCACTGCAGGCGTACTCAAAACTTCATTCTCAAATTGAATAGTTATAAATTTACTCAGTGCTCAAGTGCTACAAGCTGGTCGATCAGATAGCGTGAGTTTCATACTTTATCTCATTCTATTCCTTCTCTCTTTCATTCTTTCGTGTGCTTCTTTTTGTCACTTTCGGTGAGGTTATAAGCTAATATTTTCAGTGGTGATTCGTTTGGCTATGTCCCTGAAAGCGATGCATATGTCAATGTTATGCAGCCTGTATCGGTCAACGTCAATCTGCTATCTGATATCCTGCAGATTGCGCTTGGAGAGGACATTACTGAAGAAGCCGATGAAAAATCGGAAAGTATGTTTTTGAAAACCACATCTTATATATAAAGCTGAATGTCTGTCTGTCTGTCTGTCTGTATGTCTGTACGTATGTGCGGAATAGAAATTTTTATTTCTGAACCGATTTGGACCAAACTTGGCACACATATACTTCGGGGCAGGGAGCGTGTCATAGGCTACTTTTCGTTATCGATCGATATCGATTTTATCGATTTTTTGCAAAATTCGAGCTAGAGGGCTGGGATTTGGCAGAGGGGGGTAATCGAGCATGCTGATCACCCCGAAGGGGGTGATCAGCATGCTCGATTACCCCCCTGTGCAAAATCCTAGCCCCCTAGCTCAAATTTTGCAAAAAAATCGGTAAAATCGACATCGATCGATAACGAAAAGTGGACTGTGACAGGCTCCCTGCCCCGAAGAGTATGTGTGCAAAGTTCGGTCCCAATCGGTTCAGAAATAAACATTTCTATCCGGAACATACGTACACGGGTCTAGCTGGCAGGCCCGGCGGAGCCGGGCAAGCCAGCTAGTATTTCTCTAAAAACGAATCATTTTTGTAAATTTTGCAATTTTAGGGATCCCCTCATTCAGTCGATTTCTTCGTATGCAGCTAGATGCAGTTCGCTCCGAAAAATCGAGAATTTACGAGGTAGGCACATTGCACAAGGTCTTTTGCATTTTTGACTCCACTTTTTTGTATTTTTAAGATACCAAAACTGGAATTGTGGATCAAGTACGCAAAAGCATTGGTAGAAATCATCAGCCCTAGCTCAGAGATTGTCACTAAGAAGTTGCTGAATCAGTATGTGAACAGGCAACTGCAGTTTATGAGAATGTAGGTATTTGATACTTTTATCTCAATCTTCTCTCCCCTTCCTTTTTCGTCGGTCAAGATTTTAATTTTTTAGGCTAAATGCTAAACATGTAAAAGAAGCAATAGCGAGATATACCGGCACATCGCCCAGTTTTGGTAAAAATAAACCGCTTACGGAGAGAGGTCGAAATCAAGTGTTTACGAAGGCCGAGCACGATCACAAAGTGAGTATCCTGTCTTGTTCCGCTATTGGTTTTCACTATTTTCTATTTCTTATGTGAAAATGGGTTTGTCTTCTCTAGGTTGCTCTTGCTATAGCTTATTTGGATGCTGTATTAGTTGGAGATCGAGATGAAGCGATTGCGCAAGTGCGTGCCACATGTGACAGTCTCTGGCAAGGGGGAATGCGAGGTTGTGAGGAGATCTCGATGACAGGAAATCGTTGCCAACTGAAGGTAAATAAATCCTGTCCCTTTCGTTTTACTCACCTTACCTTTGCATTTTTTTGCTGTGATATTTGATATGTATCTATGTTCATTCGCGCGATTGCTCATGATGACCTTGTGTGATCCTTTACTCGCAATATTATCGTGACTTTTAGGTGCATGCCACCATTGGTGATGCTTCCGTACCATCTAGCGAATGGGAAATGCATTCAAATGACATCACCTATCTTTCCACATGCTCCTGTGGTCGACGTCAGGCAGTTCGTAGGGATCCCTTTACTCTCAAGGTAAATTTCTGCAAGTTTCTCATCAATAACTTCCTCCAAATTTTCTTAGAAATCAAGCTTTTGATTATTTAGGAGGCAAACTATGACTTTTACTTCGAAAACAAAATCTTTTCTTGCTGTGCTGGATTGGAAAAGCATGTGTTCGCTGTGCTAGAGGATGATGATACTGATGCAGACAAGGGAGGAATGGTAGGGGCATTATTTCTGTAGAATTCTGTTGCATATGTGAATTTTGGTGGTCCGGTAATGAGAATTGGGAAGGTGAAGGCGCAGGCTCAAATCCACTTTTCCCTGTCCCTGCCGCTTTGAGAGATAGGCAAAATGCTGACGATGATTCCAACAGACCAGAAGGTGACGACGAAGATGCCACAGGAAGCGAAACTGGCGAGGATTCGGTAAATGTCGACTTCTCAATAGCATGCGAAAACATACTAACGAACAACCTAGTTTAGGTAAGCAATGCGGAACCAGAAGTGATTGAGAGTTCCTCACAATCATCGCAAGACGATGATGTACACTATCAAGACATGAAATCGTATTTGGATGATGAGTCAGGTAAGAGTCGGTGTTGATCAATACTTAGGGCCGCATGCACTAACCTCCCCGCGGGGAGGTTAGTGCATGCGGCCCTTAGTTTGAAGCATCGTAGCTAGTTTGTAGCTCTTTTTTGTCATGTTATAATGGTGTTTCTTCAAGTTTCTTTCGTGAAAAGTCCCCACACCAAGCTTGATGAGGCCGCTATTGCATTTGAAGCTCATTTGAAGAAGCTGCGGGCGAAGCAGGTAATCATAATTATTATCTATTAGGTTGGCTAAAAAATAAGTTCGGTCGTTTTTAGCGGTTTGTAGAATTGTCACAAATCAGTTTTAGTGTGTATGTATGGTACCACTGGAAAGAGCAAATTAAGGAGAATCGGATGGTCGCCTCTGTTTTCTCAAAAATAATTCTTGTGATAATGAATTGGTAGAGAAAGGAAAATTGATCAGATTTTTTCCTCAAAATTTCGAAAAATCACGCTCCGAAAAAATAACTGAAGTCAGGTGTAAAGTGTAGATTCGCTATCCACACAACAAATTTTTGAATTTCCAACCATTTGCATGGCCATAGATGGCCAAATTCGAGTTATCTGGAATGCCCAAAATTTGACCTTCACACGCAAATGCCTGGAAATTTTCACAATTTTGACTGCAGAAATTCAGGAACAGCAGGTCACAATCTCTATTGTGGTTCGCCACCTAGCCAGAGGCTGTATGTATCCAACCACCAAATTACACGCCTGTGTACTCACTGCAGGCTGAGAACGAAAGCTAGAAAGTCAAAAAAGCGAATTTCTAGAAGTTTGACCGTATAAGGTTGTAACTGTCATTTTTTGGTAACATAAAATTTTGACTATTCAATATTTAAGAGTAGAGGCTTGAGGCTATCTTCTCACGAAAAAATCTTAGCTGAATAGCTGTTACGGGAATTGTTATGAAGCTTTGAATTTGCATATCAAAACGAACTTATTTATTAGCCAACCTAATAGTTTATCTTTTGTTTTCGTTTGTTGGTTACCTGGTCATATTGGCAGCTCATATTTGGATTTTCTTGCTTATGTGCTCACATTTTTAGATTCCGTTCCTTGAAGGAGTGCCGCACTCACTCTCTCCAAAGTTGCCACCTCTTTTCCCATCATGGACACTCACTTGTATTGGACCAAACAGCTACTATACGTAAGTCACGCACGTCAGTGTTCATATTTTTCGTAACCGTTCAGGTATTCTTATGGTCTTCGCGATCAGCCCAATCTAAAACTGGGTGGAGAGTATCTGTATCCCGTTAGCGTTCAGTTAGAAGTGAGTTATTTGCAAACTTTTACCTTATCTTATCGCTGTTTTAGAATTCACTTGGTTTCTTATATGTCGTAATTATTTTTCTTGCCAGGTTGATCCCGTTTCTTGGGATCGCGACATGCAATACGTGTAAGCAGTTGAAGGAGAATCGTCGCGACCTCCTCCGCGGAAACCAAGAAGGCTACCCGCGGAGATAGAGAAGGTAAGATATCTATTGGTGCATGCATTCACTCTACTTTCATGTGTTCTTTAGGTTAAACTCTTCGTCGGAATGGAGTATGAATGTCCACGCGGTCATCGCTTTTTTGTTGCAGAAAATGGAGAACCGCTAAGGTTACCAAAGGTGAGAAAAACTTGACTCTGGTGTTGCTTGGTTTAGAACTTACAGCTATTTTTAGAACTCAAATGCTCGATCTGCGCTGAATCGAGAATCGGATGATGAGTTCTTGCACTGTGATTTTCCACTGAGACGTCAGTGCACGTGCAAAAAATTACCTGTGCAAACAGCTCAACTTATGCGAGTCCACGTCGTGACACCAAAAGCGCCGATAACCGTGACTATCCAACCATCTGTTGAGGTGAGTTTCTGCTTCAGTTCAATAACTGGATCTTGGGAAGCAGATTTTTTTTTACAAAGTATGGTCCTGTCTCACTGCTTTCCAGGGAAGTTTGTTCATTCTGCTCGTTAATTTCATTGTTCGGCATCAACTTCGCAGATTCATGAAAATCTTGGAAGAAAAGTTCACATCTTCGCGATTACATCTTTTGAGAAACACCTTACAAGTTTCAAAATTGCCGGATGAAAATCTTTTTTGGTGATGTGTACAGTTATTTTGCGAAACTGGGATCTTTTCCAGATTCCTGGGCAGGAAGGCTGTTTTGGTACTGGTGAAGGACCGCTCCAGCTTTCGTGGGCAAGGTATTCAGCTACCATAGGATTGAAAAATACATATTCTGTAACATACTGCTCTAGGTATTACATACTGCAACTACCTTTCATATACTCCGGACCATCGGGAGTGTGGATACCACCAGTAGGGGTCGAAAAAGTGGGTACATTTAAGGGTGACGCCATCCAAGTGAAATACGTCCCGATGCTGTCAAGGAGATGATTGTACAAATGTCAGTTAGAGGATTTCATTTCATCTGCTCCTAGCCCGTGTCCCGGGACGCTGTATGTCATTCAGTGTTAACGAATCCCGCTGGACTTACTAGGAGTCGACACTGTCATGCTGTGAATTGTTGCCGGTGTTCCGCTTACATTAATGTTTCTATCGGGTCTGATTTTTGTTTCCTTCTGAGAATGTTTTTTGTGATGTTGGTCTTATCATTCATCAGATGTATATGTAATATATTTATCCGTAAAATAAAAGGTCGGAAAATGATAATTTTTAATGTTAAGAAAAGAGAAGCCGTCAGAAGCATTTTTTAATCTTCTGGGTAGCTGGTCAAAGGGATTAGATGAATTTATCATAAATTTTTTCATAGACTTTATTCACGGCGTTCACTCTAATGGATCCGAAATAATGTTTTCTTAATCGGTTGATAAAGCGAGAAGAGCCTCATTGCGCCTACCGTAGTGCTACGGCGACCACGCCCTCATAGCAAGTACGGAAAAAATCCTCCCTCGCATTGCGGAAACATTAGTCAAAAACTTACTTGTTTGGTAAGAATCTCCATTGTGGATATCAGAATTAACATTTTGCTCAAACTTTGCCGAACTAAGGGTGAAAGATTGGTTATCCTCAAACCTGCGAGCATGCGGCTAACTTGACCTACTTCGTTCTCAAAGAGGCTACTGAATGTGTGCGAACTAGATGCCTTAGTTCTTAAAATAATTTCGAGTTCCAAATTTGAAAAAAAAAAGCCGGGATCAATAAAAACCGATACTACCAAGATTTTCATACTTCAGTTCACCTCCCATTTATATAAACCTGGTTCAATCTGCAAACAACTATTAAATCAATACAGCCATGCAGTGACTTTATGGTGTGTGTTCGAACGGCGAAATCATCTTCCCCCATTTATCAACTGTAGCCGTAACAGGGAATCGCCGAAAATCAATAAATCAATGCTGTTCCTTATAAAGAGCCCACTGGTCTGCAAAAGTGCAACTATGCAAATTTTTTTCCGCTTCGGTACTAACAATTTTTTATTTGGAAAACAACAGTGCGCAACTTTTTTTGTATAGAACTACAAATTACAACAACTTCATTTCCTAGCTTTTTCGATTAATGACACGGAAAAAAATATCTGCTATTTCTGCGTATCATTACCAAGACAATCATACCACCTTTTTACAATGTGCAAATAAACACCTAAATGAAAATGTTCATAAATTTTTATTTGTAGTAGAATATTCAACATAAATTAGATCACTTTTGCTTAGGCACAAAGCCTAAGTGTAGGATTTTTCGGATTGTGGACGGACCATTCCACCATCCCTTCACTAAGAAGTTCCAGTAGAGAAATGCCATGAGGTATCGTTTCATGAGGAAAGCGTAAAATCTGTAAAAAAAAGTGGTTAAGGGTTTATGCGAGAACTGGTCCCTAGCAATTGTTGCAAAGCGAAATTGTAAAGAAAAAATGTTCTACTAACCCTGGTTTCGCTTGATTGATCGGTAATGTTTCCATAGGTCCTTTGGAGTTAAACTCAGCCAGCATTCCACGGCGTCTACCCACTATTATTGGACAGGACGCGTAGCCATCGTACTGGAATTTTCAAAATTACTTCAAAGCTGATTTGGGGGGGGGGGGGGGGATCATCACCTTTGCGGGCAATTCTTTTCCTTCCATAGCAGCTGTCAGGTTTTTGTCAATCGTCTTCAGATGGCTAGATACAGCGGCAGCCGTCTTCGCATTTGGTGTGTTCATACAGTCGCCGGCAGCAAAAATGTTGGTGAAGTTTTTCACCTAAATAAGACTCAAACTGAATGCCACTAGAAAGCGTATTTAAGATTTGAGAAATGATACAATTCTCCATCAAGAACTTGTCCATGAAAGTACCAATTTATACAAGCAAGATAGAGCTGTAGCGTCTGTGCGAGAACTGGTCCCGATCCAAATTGTTAAATTTTTACAGAATTTAAAAAAATGATGCGAATCTTCGTCAGGATCTTCAAGAGTATGGAAATACGTTTACTGTGCGTCGAATAAAGCAGTAAACAATATGCGAACTGGTCCCCGACTCAAGATGAATGAAAATTTGAAAAAAATCCTGAGCATTTGATGCAACTTCTTCAAAAAAAACTTGCGCTAATAAAAAATATCAACTTACACAAGCCAAATAAACTTGTGGCGTATTTGCGAGAACTGGGCCCAGACTTATAATGTTTGTAAATTTTACAGAAAGTTTGAAAAATTACAATTCTCTTGCGGTGAATTAGCACTATCTATCGCATAGCAAAAACCGCGCGCCTGCGACCGCACGCAAAGTCTCCGCGACGCGGTGCGTGGATGCGACGCGAAGTGAGCTCCGAGTTGACCCTACTATAGTATAGACTGCAACAAGATGCTTTCATAAGTGCTATAATGAGCTCCAATCCCTGAAAGTTTGGTCCAAGTACATCAAGCTTACCCTCAACGTCTCAGGATCGACATTGACCCATCCAGTTTCGTCGACGATCTCCTTACAGTTCCTCACGGCTGGAGGAGTTGAACATGGTGGTCCGACATGCAATAGCGAGTACTGTAATAACGAAAAATAAGCATGATCTGTTACGGTCCAAAGACGCGGTCCTTTTTGCACATTTACCATAGGCTACCGTAATCTTGCGCTGTGGAAAGCAATAATCACATAAGTGCTCATTTGAAAGATAGGGTTTATCTCTTGCGCGGGATTAGTGCTTCCAACTTCACTTGGGTGCTGTGCACCATTACGATAGTATAGTGTAGTGGTGCAAAATGGCCGTTTCTCAGGAGAAACTTACTGGTATTTCGTCAAATTTCCCATTTGGTTTCGCATTCTCATCAAGAAGTTCAAATTTGGCAATTTTATTTTTTGTATCCACTTCGATAAGATTATGTCTTGTTCGTATGTCAATATTCTTTTCTTTGGCAATTTTTTGTAAAGTGGGGAGGTAGGCTTCCACGCCGAACAGCTGCAAAGTCAAAACGAACGAAACTATAACGCTGACGAAAACTGATCCCCAACTTACCCTTGGTAATGAGGTAGCATAGATGAAGTTAGTTTTATCCCGATAGCCTCGTTCTTTGACAATATCTTCGCCATAGTAGAGTACTTTCTGTGGAGCACCAGCACATTTGATTGGTGCATTGGGAAAAGTGAATACGCAGTTTCCTGACTTAAAAAATTCTCCATAATTTGAAAACAAAAACAGTAATAGAAAAACTGGTTTCATAAGTAAAAATGACATCATGATAAAATACGATAAAAATTTTCTTCAGTTTTTTAGTCTGGCTTCTGGGCTGCATAAAAAGGTCTAAAATTCAAAGTGTCCCAGTATATTTCCGTTTCATAGAGCATCTTTGCGTAAGCGGGGGAAGGGGCGCAAAACGCATGCAACTTGGAGCGCCGCCCATTGCGTAACGCACTATATCGTGCAGAGACAGGTGCCCATCGTGTCGAGACCATTTTCGGCCATTGGCAGAGCATCCGATTTGCGCGCCAAATTTCGAATCGAATTGCCGCCTTCCGCGCCCCTTTGCGCTGTTGACAACACTTGTCCGTAAAAGATAGCCAAGGCGTGCAAAAGATAGAGAAATGCACTGCACGCTCATTCTTTTACGCGCAATCGTTGTGAGCAGTGCAGGCGCACTATATAAGTCTACCTACCGAAATTGAGTTTAGCACAATAATGAATTAAAAAATAATGCTTTGCAAAATCTTGCACTTACCGTTACGGTACTGAGTTCCTTGAATGTTTTTGTACAGTGAAAAGGTGAATAGTTTGAGCATACTCCGGGTGTATCAAGTCCTTCCGGTAGGCCTTTAATCTACAAAACAATCAATAAAATCAATACTTTCTCAAAGCACAACTGAAACAGCATCTACTTACCAAATCGAATCGTAATTGGCAGCCTGTGGCTATAATCATAAAATCATAAGTTATTTCTTCTCCACTACTGAAAATAAAGACATTTAATAACTTCAAAAAATTCGTATATATGATAGTCATTAGTTCACCTCAAAGTAACTGAATTCTTCTTTGGTTCGAATTTTTCGACTCTATCTTTTACCCAGACAGTATTGGGGTGGATGAGATCCTTTTCTTGACGAGTGTGATATTCGACAGGAGTGTAACCGCCGCCGACCAGCGTGAAACCGGGTTGGTAGTAATGGGTCTAAAATAAAATTTCTTAGGGTTGCGTCTTTTTAATAATATTATATTTTTTCACAAAATCATGTGAATCAAAGTACTGCGGCTGAGGACGAGTTATCGCTGTACTCGGTCGTTCAAAAATGTAAAAAAGCTAACCATTGGCGTTCCAGGAGATATTTTTTCGGTTTAAGGGGGGGGGGGGAGGGAGGTTGGGGGTTGGGGATATCTTCTGAATGGAGAGGCTTGACGTAACTTAGCCCTCTGAATACTGTTTAGAATGTTTTCGTAAACTGCAGACGTGTAGCATCTAAAAGAGTGGCGGCAACTCGCCTCCGAAAAAACTTTTTAGAATCTCTTGTGGATTTCAAAAAAAAAAAATTTGAAAGACTCTATCAAATGCTGCAAAAGTTTTTAAGAAAGTTATTTGCGTTTCCCTTTCATGTTGAAAGTTCGAGGTTTTCAACGATCACTTTCGTGCAGTTAGTTTTTACACATAATGTGTAATTCGGAAAAAAAATTGCTGTCTCGATTCTGGATTGTAACAAGGGTGATGAATTTTTTTTTAAAAACGGTTTGCTGGAAGTATCGCAAGTTTATCACTCTAGAGACCGAGAATATGTAAGTAGCGAGATTTGCGATATTTAAATTCAAATTTCGCAAATCTCGTTACGAAAATTTACTTACACGAGTCATAAAATGTGCAAGTTTTTGTTTATACTTATAAATAACTGCGATAATTTAAGATTCTTTCTTAGTAGTCAAAATAGCCTTTAACGTTTCTTGGTCTGAAATTTCAGACATATGGGTCAAAAAAATTTCGAGCATCCCAAAATTTTTTTTGCCTTAACCGGGGCTCGGCACGAGGGGGGGGAAAGGTTCCAACTTTGCAAAATTTTACAAAGTCCCCTTTGACCCTTATCCGAATATTCAATCGACTAAAAAAACGAAACACCTAATTTTCGACGCATAAAAACGTCCCCTTTGCTTTTAGTCCCAAAAACGATATCCAGCTTGCTTATAAACCACCTGTGCCGAGCTCTGTTCTCAACGAATCAAGTAGAGAATGCCCTTTTTGGTATTAACGATTTTCCAAAAAATAAAAAAAACGTTTTCTGATTTTTGACACCACGTGCATTGATTCCTTTACTAATCAAAAGATAACAAGATATTTTCGTCACTTGATAGATTGATTGCACTCATTCATGTACCGAACAGTCACCGTACTATTACTGCTGCACTTTTGTTGACCGTTGAGATTGCGGACGAAATTTGACTTCATCGACTGAACCCACTTCCGCGTGGACAGGAAAAAATCGGACAGAAAGAGAATTTGAAAATTTAAGAAAAGCTTCATAAGATTATAATATGCAGCAAAAATTAGTTTAGCAATCAGCTGGTCATTCGAAGTAGAAAAAAAGTGGATTGAATGAGTGATTGATTTCAAATTCAGCAATTTTCGTTCTCTTCATAAGAAAAGTCCTTGTATTGAATTTTGTGCCACATTTTGACCACAAAAAACATTTTTGACAAATTTAAAGCTAGATGATGAAAAACTGGCTACCTCGCTCGGTTCTACCACTGCAACGCTTTTCTTCGGCAATCTTCTCGCGAATTTGTGACTAGCACCCATTCCGGCAGCACCTCCACCAACTACTAGTAATCGATAATGTTGAGCTGAAATTGTCTTTTTTTTTCTAAAGAGCTAGCGGAAATACCAACCTCCATCAATATAATCATATTTACTTTGGGAGTGAAACGGTAATCTTTTAGAAAATAAAGTGCAAATGCACAAAAATCCCTGTGTAACGGATTTTTCCAGAATTAATAGGTCGGTTCAAAAGTTCTGTCGATTCATTTTTCCAAAAATTGCAACTCTACGCTGTTACAATGGATTTGCTTGCTTATTTTATTAGAAAGAATAAGCCTTTAGCTTTCGAAATCTATCTTGCAGAGCTTCTGCTTCACACTGACTGCAGAGATAAAAATGGAAAAGCAAGACATATAAGCTCATGTAAGCTTTGACCTTAATAATAATACAAAACGCCAAAATTGATTAATTTGTCACTTTTCTCGAAAATCATAACTTTTCACACAAAAGTCAAAACAACACAAAATTTTTACAGTTACAAAGATTAGATCGTAAGACTTATATACTGATTTGGGATTTATCTGTAAGGTTCCAGATTTTGGTGACTTAACTTGAAATCAAAGCTTCATGGTTTGTTTTTCTATTTTTATCTCTGCAGTCAGTGTGAAGCAGAAGCTCTGCAAGATAGATTTCGAAAGCTAAAGGCTTATTCTTTCTAATAAAATTACAAGCAAGCAAATTCACTGTAATAAGAGTTACAATTTTTTGAAAATGAAACGACAGAACTTTTGGACCGATCAGCATATATCCACCACCGCTGAAGACCTTCTTTTTTGAACCTATTTTTATTTTGAAGGTGAAACGGTGAATTTCAAAATCGAAGAGATATGTTCTAATATTTTTGAAAATCAAAAAAAATGGAATTTCCCCTTTAAGAAAACAATAAATATTTATATTTTTTGACAATTTTGTTGTGCAATAATAATTACAGTACAACTGCATAACTCACCATAGGCTATCGGACTTAACTTCATATTTTTAGTTAGTAAAACCAAGTGTCTGAAAAATACGATCAATATCACAAAATCAATGCAAAAACGGAATCATGAGAGAAGAAAAGAAACGATGAGCAGATACTCACAAAAAATTTTTCTGACCTCCTTAAAGTTTTTCTAAAGTATTTGTAGTGCAGCAAGGCTGTTTAGTGCGTTTATTGAAAACTTGCGCCGAGGACATATGACCGTGTCCAATCAGAGGTCAGGTGTGTACGTGATAATCGTAAGAATGTTCGAAGTCTGCACTCTGAAAAACCAGTTGTGAGAATAAGAATGTTCCATTTCGTTGCAACGAAAAGGAATCGTCTATATAGCAAAAAACGATTGTTTTGTCAAGTCGGTAAGAACAAGAATAAAAATAAAAAATCACAACAAAACGGTCGCAACCCATTAAGCACTTCCCCTATATTTTAGATGAATTCTGAAATACTATTTGTTAGAGCAAAGCAAGTTCTACAAAGTATGCAAATTTCATTTACGTGGGGTTTGAAGCAAGGACCAAAAAAACCGACTGCACAAAAAAAATGAAAATTTGGAATTTTTTCCAAAAACTTTCCCAAAAACGACAAAATTACCTCTCGCATATACATACTTCACCAGACAATCTTGTATCCTTTGATTTAACGGGATTGGCGGATGGAAGGGCGCCGCTCGCGCCCCAGTCTGCGCCTCTCTCGCGAGAGTGCTCTCTGATCACTCTCTAGCCTAGTCAGGCACGAAGCCCCGCCTTCCAGCCGGCAATCCAATTGAATCAGAGGGTACAGTTGCTGTATTTTTTCCTCGTCTTGAATTTGAGAAAACGAAATTTTTAAGCCTTTGCCAAAGCAATGATGGCTGTTCTCACTCATTACAACCTCAATACTACAATGGTTTCGTTGATTTTCAAAACATTTCTTGTTATTTTCAAACGAATAGAAATCATGGTGCAAGGCTTTTTTTATGTCATTGGACTTTTTGGATATGAAGAACAATTATTCTCTGTACTAAGGCAATTCTTCATGCACGGTTTCTCACAGTAGTATACGGTCATTTTTTTGATACAGTACCCTTTTATAACAAAAAAAGAACTTTCTATTTCCTCAGGTAATGTGACCTCCTGCAAAGACCAATCAGCAGCTGGCTGGGTATTTGATCTGCCCTCTGCCTCCAGCAACTTTGTGATCGTTTTTTGTGCTGTTGTACTTTTATCAGTCAACATTTTTGAGGACATACTTTGATCAAAAAGATTGATTGGTGACTTAATTTTAGTAATCAATATAAGTTTTAGTAATAAATATAGTCATTCCGTCATTGAAGGATGTCACAAGAACATTTTGCAAATTCTACGCAAAATCTCATATAAGCGCGATTCTAAAGTGACTCAAACGTTAATAACGTAGAGTAAAATAAAACTATCCTGTAATTAATGCAACTAATAATTGTGGCAAAAATAACATAAGAAATTGTCGAGAAAAGCATTCTATCTTTAGCCGGCTTAAACTAGAAATGCTTCAAAAGCTCTGGATTTGTCGAAGGACAAAAAGAAGTTACAATCACACAAACGATATAATAAATTTTATTTATCTAATAGGACTGCGCCATCCAAAAATTAACGGAAAGTTTTTCGGTGGCCATCGCAAAAATCCCTTTATTCAGGCAAGGTCGTGGAGCAAAGTTCGTGTATTGCCCTGCTTAGCACAAATCAATGTATGTGAGGTCAACTTTTCCCAACTTTTTTTGGAGACGCTGGTTTTGAGTACTCATTCTATTTTAAGACGGGAAAATGTCACGCCGCGATCATAGATTCGATAATCAGAAAATTTATCCAGCCTCTGTTTTAGTCTTCGCCAATCAAGCTTGTTGATTCTAAGCTTTTCTTTGCAAAAGGCAAAGTTCATTTTTTCACATAAGGGATTTAAAAACAAAGAAAGCAAAAAAAAGGAACAATTGGAAGGACGCAATGTTGAGTTTCAAACGAATAGGCAAATCACAAATTCTTTGAAGCTAAGTTTCTAGACTTCTTTCGTGGTACGCGTTACGGTAACCTTACAGTAATCAGTATGGGTGTGAAATGGACGATGCGCTTAAAAAAGTATGAATGGTACATGGAGCGTGTGATGTGATTGCCTATAAAGGGGGGGGGGGGGAGGATATTTTCGACATCTGCATTACAATAATCAGTGCTTGAAATTTTGCAGCAGTCACCTTTTGAGAATTAAATTTGGTAGTCTCGTAGGGTAAAGCATTTTTTTATCGTAGTGCCACAGTGGGAACTAAAAAAATTTTCTACACCAATTTTTCGGTAACAAGTAAACATTATGAACTTTTCGGCAATAAATCATTGCCTTTCCTCATTATTATTCAACAAGGTGCAGAATTTCTAATTGATCATATAATCCGCAATACTTGCATCATTCCCATTGAGTTAAAGCAATGATTTTTTGAAGAGGTGGAAAACTCTAGAAAATATGTATAAGCAGGAGAATTTACAGGTGCTGTTTTACAAATCATTTCTATCAGAAATGGTATATTACTATTTTTACACCCATAGTAATAAATATAGATTGTTGAAATGATTTTGTTGATAGTATTAGCATCATTAATATTATAGTTATCCATTCAATTTATAGCATTAAAGCATAGAAAAATTATTAATTATTCACTTCCAACAACATGACTTCTTGAGACAAATTCAAGTATGAAATCTCAAATGGCAATAATGAATAGAGTCTGTTGTGGAACTTTGAAAACTCAAAGGTTTGGAGCAGTGAATCACCACAGTTTTGTGCTCCCAACTATGATAAAAGAGAAAAAGTGTCGCAAAAGGAAACCATGGAAAATCTAGGCTAAATGGCCGCCGCAGATTGATTTCGTCGCAGATTTGCGATCAAATGGAGTTTTCGACTGTATTTGGAGGTCAAATGGCAGCTAAGGGAAGCATTCGATTGAGAGTTTTCGAATGGCAGTGCTTACAATTATAGTCTGTAATACGCATACTATTTGAAATTGTATTAGTTTATTGTAATTTTTTTACTGTTAGTTTATATACCAACTTGCCATGTTCCTATCGTGCTTTGTGCCTTAGGAATATGAGATGATTTACAGCGATCAAGGCTTTGCGTTTTCTCACACGCTCATGTTCTTTGATGGCTTATCATTAGATTTATTATGCTTGCATATAGTTTGTTTACTTACATATGTATATAAATGGCTGACACAGCTTAAAGCTTATTGGTTGTGTTCTATGTTTTACTTCCCATTGTTTGAGTGCATTATGATTATTTCATCGTATCATTAACTCTATCCTTCCAAAGTTCGCCTCCGCTGCCTCACAGTGTTCACAGTCACAGATTCATGGAGCTCATGTACTGCTGTACCGTCATATCTGTTATCAGATGTAGTTAATAACAAAGGTTCAACTACCGAAGTTACCGCTGTGCACAAAAGTCCCGCGTGGCAGCTAGTCGATCAGTACACAGTCCACTCACCGAGCATACATTTTGTATTATACGTTTGCATTGCTTATTTACTCTATAGAAACCACAGTACTCGTCCATTCCAGACTCCCGTGATTCTTGCCTTTGATTAGTGCAAAGAATTGCGCGTAAGTTCCTTTGTTCTAACTTTGCAGGTAGAAAACTTCTCAGTGATTTTGCACACAGTAATACAGTTTACATCAACACAAAACTTTTCACCATTGTTATACTCGCTTCAAGCCATGTACCTTCTGCTTCAACCAGATCTGCGGTTGGAAGGCGGGGCTTCGCGACCTAATTAAGGCTAGATGGTCAGAGAGCATGTCCGCGAGGGAGGTGCAGACTGCGTCACGGACGTGAGCGGTCGCCCCTCAGGTCATGAAGCCCCGCCTTCCAGCAACCGATGTTGGAGCGAAGGGTACAGTCTGTGTCAATCACGAGAGGTCCGCACGCAAGGCTCTCGCGTTGCGTGTAGCTCCTACGCGGAGAGGAGTATAAGCTACTGCACGACGAAGGCACAATATCTTTGAGCGCGAACGCGGCTTTATTAGCCGAGCGCATGAGGCGCAGTGTTTACAATGGTGAAGATACGCGCGCACCGTGTTCGCATCCGCTCAACTAATACTGCTCCTGCTTCTGCGCCTTCGTCCTCCAGCAGACTTTACGTAATTGACACCGAAGTTAAGAATGTATTGTGATTCCTATCGTAACCAACGGATGTTTTGATGCAAACTCAGTGTGCACTTGCACAAAATCCTTTCGGCCGAGTTTAAAGCAACCTCAGATTCGTTTATATTCTCATTAGACTTACTCCTCATGACTGTGGTTTATATGCTCTTACAAAAGCTCATATTTCCATTCTCTGAGCTCTCTCATTGCTTGACACTTGATGATATATTTTATTGGAATATAAACAACTAGAAAAGCGACAGAAAAAGCAACAATAACAAAATCCCATCAACAACCACCTGTAGATAACTAGAGAAAGATCACAGAGTTGATAAACTAGATATGGGTACTTGCAAAGCCGTAGTTAAAGGGCACTTTGAACTTACATTTTGTAAACATCTCAATATAAATCCGTTCTAATTTGTAGCTCTTGATCAATGCCTAGATAACAATCTGACATAATGAATACTGTCATGTAGCATCGTCCCCTAAAATCACATCATATGACTGAGAAGAAAAATTCACAAAATATACTGTTAAACGAGCTTACTTCTTGTCTGGGGTGACGAAGTCCAGCCGAATAGTTCTGTTGCCTTGGATTGCATTCACATGGTTGATCGATATCAATCGATCATTGTCTTTTTCACCAATTATTACTATCCAGCTAGCTGTTTTTTCTTTAGACCATTGGGTAAGATAAGCTTCCGTGTTAAACTGGAAGAAATTAAATTTCGGATTAACTAGCACCCGCAGGTATACAGATTAGAATACAGAAATAATCCTTCCTTCAAGGAAAAAATTACAGGTGAAGTCCCAAGTTCAAAAAACTGACCACAATTTTTCGAAAAATGTGACATCGAAATTTCATTGGAAAAGAGTGGAATACACCAGTTGAATTCGAAAAAAAATTGAGCTATCGGATCACCGTAAACCATTTCAGCTGCTCATTCTGCTAAGGAGGGGGGGGGGGGAGAGAGAGAGAGTTCTTCGTTGCCAATGCATTTGTGATAGAACTTACCCTATTTGGCCCCAACATGCTTGCATGAAACTGCAGTTTGTAATGGCTGTTGTGTTCCAGCCGTATCCATTCGTCATTCATCATCACTCGAATTTCTTTCGTACCCTTGCATATCCGAAGTCCACTAATGGATAAGATAGGCCATCTACACAAGGCGCGAACCACCTAAAAAATTCATGCAAAATAACAAATACCTTCCTAAGTATTCTGAAAATAGAGAACTTTGACTGACGTCTCTGATTTCCAGTTCCTCGAGTGTCGTGCTCTCAAGTAACACATTCTTCGCGCGTTTTTCTACCATATCTGACCCGGAAGCTTTTTCCACGCCAAACTTGTCTTGGAGTAGAGGTATGGTGACTCGCTCCCTAAGAGGCATGGATAAGTAAATAAAAGTTTTTGTGAGTTGCAAACTAAAGACTCACCCTATTCTCTCGGCATCGTAGCTTTTGAGCTGAGGCAGGCACAGCAAAGGGTGATCGTCATGCCATCGTCCAGAATGACACATTTGCTGCAGAATCGTTATTCGCAGCACTGTTGATAGCCATCCATTGAGCTGACAGACATCGCGCATAGCCTAGAATTATAATCAACACAAATAGAAGTGAAGGTTCTAAAAGAAGGGTGCGAAAAGATTGAGAGCACGATTGCAGATTGTGCACCTGTAATATTCGTACGCACTGGTCAAGTACACTTTTCAAATCCGTGCGATAATCAGTAGGTATGTCGGTTCGAGAGAAATGTGCCTGAACATTACAGTCTAATGAGAAAAAGTGAAAATCAAAAGCAAAATTAAAATCGAGTTCACTCGCACAACAAATTGTACCTGGAAAAGAAGATGAGCCTTTGTATGTGACGAGTCCATAACACTGGTTGCAAATCGGATTCTTAGCTTCCGCTGCAATTGCCTGAAAAAAGAAGACATAGCTTAATGAGTCAACACACTCTTGAAATAATTCCAAGCAAGTCTGAGAACCTGGATATGTGGATGCTGATGGGAGGCTTTAAAGGCAGCGTCCAGGCAAATCTGGACCTATGGTGCTTTTACGTGGAAAGTACTTTTGGGGCCCTAACTAAGGCACTGCCCAAGCGGCAGCTCAGGTAGTGCTGTAATGGCTGAGATATTCTCCTCGAAACTGGCCCCCGCGACCGTGTTTCGCATGGGTTCATGGCGCAAAGCGTGGATCCTGGCGCGAAGCTGCCATGAATCCATGCGAATACGTTCGCGGGGGCCAGTTTCGAGGGGAATATCTCAGCGATCAGAGCACTACCTGAGCTGCCGCTTGGGCTGTGCCTTAGTCAGGCCCTCAAAAGTACTTTCCACTTAAAAGCCCCATAGGTCCAGATCTGCCTGGACGCTGCCTTTAACCCACTGCGCAAGCGGGAGCTCGTACTCTTTCGTGGCCGAAATTACAACTTTTGCCCAGTACGGTACCGGGGTACGACTGACCCACGGAAGAGTATGGTAATGGGCAAAACTTGGGCTGCATTTCTCGGCCATGAACAAACCAAATGAGCTTTCCCTTCAACAGTGGTGCTGAGGCTTCCAGTCAGTTTCCACATGACCCATGCTCACACCTGAAAATTTTACTTACGTATTCGTAACATCCTCATTATGTCGCACTGGTATCTCGTCGTATTCGGGAACATGCTAAAGGCATGATAATTTTGATGTTTATTCCAGATCGCGGTAAGAGGTTCTTACCGATAGAGTCTTCAGCAAGTCCTCTATGGAATCTTCGCGGCCTAACTTTTCTACCAAAAACTTCATTGTTTCATGGCGCAGATAATAAATGCTAGCAATTCTTCCAAAAGGTGAGGGTCGCAAGGTTTCCGTCTCCTAAAAAGGTAATTACCAAATCCTCTCATCAATCAGAAATGACTTCAAGATTGACAAAGTAGGTGAATATCAAAAAAAGCCAGGAAAGAACTAATGGAGTAGATGAGCAAACCACAAACGAATGCGCCTCACCTCATCGATAATGATACACTTCGAATACTGGAGATCCATCACACACCCATCAACAACAGCGACTAGATATTTTATCAGGGACTCCTCAGATAAGTCTTCTAACCCGTAGAAACTATAATATTTTTCGATTACAGGGAGATAGCTGGATGGATTAGCTACAAAGGGACAAAACATACTTTGGATTTGCAAACAACCGTCTGTAGAGATAAGTACCAGCCAGGTATTCCATAATCTCCTGTTTGCTAGTGATTGTACCCGCATTGATTTCGGCGTTGACATGGTTAGCTAAGACCGGAAGCAGGCTGAAATCAACCTGACAACGTCATCAAAGTGAAAACATAGCACATGCAATAGAATTCTCTTAGAAAAATCTTTCAAATTTCAGAAAAAAATCGGTTAAACAAGCTCGTTCATCTTCAGAATTGAAAATTTCCGCAAAATCGTTTTTTGTATAAGAACTGAACAAGCAGAAAAAGTGCACACCTTGACTCCACCGGGAAGGGTTCATACAGGAATCGCTTGTAGAAAGTCTTCTTGATATCTTGCACGAATATCACAGCAACTGCACTCGTGTCGTACTGTGGCCGTCCTGCGCGTCCCATCATTTGCAAAACATCTAGGAGTATGATGATATTTTGAGTTGCTATGCTAACATCCTACGTGAAAATTTACCAGTGACGGGGAAGTCCACATATTTGCAAGTTTTCCCATCATAATACTCTGTTCCTTTGACAATCACCAGATGAGCAGGCATGTTAATTCCCCAAGCCAGAGTAGCTGTCGCAATTAATACTTGGATTTTCTTCTCGACATAGAGCTGAATAAAAAAAAATATGAACAGACTTTTGATTGAGTGAAAGGGAGAAGACCGTTAAAATTTAAAACGGCAGTGAAAGAAGCGCTTTCCGGATAAAATCCGATGATTTCAGGCTTACCTCCTCCACTAGCGCCCTCTCGTGCGGACTCAGACCAGCATGATGCATACCGATACCGAATGGTAGTGTAAGCTTCAAGTTCTCATCTTTTACCGATTGTAGCAAAACCTCTAGCTAAAAATTTGTTCTTTAGGTCAGTCATGCTGTAGTTAAAGTAGCCGCACCTCAGCCATATCAATGTGGAGCCACTGCCTCGGGTCACTTTCGGTAACCAAATGGCTTATGAAGGCCATAGCAGTCAGCCTCGTTTGCCTTCGCGATGCCACAAATACTAGCACTGGCTTTAGTGGAGAGTAAGAGATAATGGCTAAAGCAGATCTCGTTGACAGAAACAGTGAATGATACACTTATAGTTCACACAAAAACCTAGGGTTTGTTGCTTCAGCTAACCTTTGAAGGCCGGCTTATTCATCAGCGCCATTCTAGGGCAGTAATGCTGTCCAGGGAAGCCTTGGATATGTACATCTACTGGGACAGGTCGAACAGATGGTCGGAAGTTGAAGAGTCCATCCTGAAAGGAGTCAAATGAATCAATACTATGCTATTCTCATAACCCAAATACATAAAAGTTGGATCCAAAACATCCAACGGAGAATGATAGAAGTGGCAAAAACACTCGGTGAGGGAATACTACTCACATCATGGATCCCTAACCACTCAGCAACATCTCCGGCATTAGCAAGAGCTGTGGAAAGTCCCAGCAACCGAGCAGGAGAATCTCGCACGCATGATCTTCTTGTCAGTAGTTTGAGCCTGAGTTACAGATATCGAAGTCCCAAAAATATGGTGTGAGTACGCTCCTACCTCGTTATTATAGCTTCCAACACAGCGCCTCGATCCACACCCAAAAGGTGAATTTCATCGATAATGATGAGTTGAACCTGACGGACATATTCACGAGTAGCCCAACTCCTAAAATGAAAAAATCAACGTTCTCCAAATATGAGGTAAGGAGGGGATAATGCGCAAAGAAAATATGGGTAAAATAGAATGCGAAACATTTACCTTGTGATACCATCCCACTTCTCAGGAGTGGTAATCATGATTGGAGCTGCGTTGAGAACGGCCACATCTGGTGTGTAGTCACCAGAAACTTCCACCACCCTAAACTTTTGCCTGTAGGTATACCCAAGAGTGGGGGAAACATACTTGTATCCCATTTTCTTCTCGAATTTCTCACGCCAATCGCTAACGCGTTCTCTGACAAGAGCTTTCAGTGGTGCAATGTACACACACTAGTATAATCAAGATCACAACAAGAAAGAGGTAAAAGATGGATGATGGCAATGACTTCTCACCTTCTTTCCCGGATACTTCTGCAACAATCTGAACATAGCCAACTCGGCACAGAGTGTTTTTCCAGAACCAGTCGGTGCTCCGATTAGTACATTCTCATCCGTTTGATACAAGCAATGGAATACCTGGATTTGACAGTACAACTAAATGTTTGTGACAAACGAAGAGCTTACCTGAGTTTGTATGGGGTTGAAGTATGAGAAATTGTATATAGACTCAAACAGCTCATTTCCAATGGCCTTTACTGGTAATGGGTCAAGAGGTAGGAGATCTAAATCGCTCGGTCCCATAGTATTTCCTATCTTGAAACCATGGAAAAAGAGGTCTTACCTGTATGAGCCTTGTAAGATTTCGGTAATATACAATTATGCATAGATAGCGCCACCACAGTGTCATCAACCAGAAAATACTCGCTAGCAACCCGTAGTTGAAAGACATTGGTCAACTGGTGATCTCTAATTGGAATGGTGAAGATAAGGTTTTGCGATTCACCCATTCGCACCTATAAAAACTGTGCAGATCCGCAGCCGAATAAATTCCTGGACAAAACGGACACACCTTCTTCTTATTGATAGCTATTCTTTCCTGATGAACTATGAGATTCTCATCTATATTCTCCAACGTCAACCAAAATGACTGCGCTCCATTTTTGCCAAGCAAGCGATCATTCCAGATGAACGCTGGAGTGAGCGTTGCTGACACTTGCATTATAGTGCTAGAAAGCAAAGACAATGAAAATGAAAAGCATCGAAAAGGCTGCAAACAGTTATGCTGGCTTACTAAGTAATAGGTTTGAGAGTAGCGTCCACCTCTACCCGTGGTAACATTCGCATGGTCTGGTAAAGCTTTTCACCATCACAGCTGAACATGTGTCCTAAAAGTCAGAATGTTTACCCTATGATTTAAAATCATATTGATATCTGAATCAAAAAAAATTGTCTAGTTGACTTTTCAAACCCACCCAACTCCTTTGCAGAAAGGTCCAGCAATTGGGATTCCGTGAGCTTCCTCCTTTCCACTTTCTCAATAAGAGTTATGGTAAGAAACTCTTCTAATTGTCTGCAAAACAAATTTAGGAAGCACTTAACTTTTCTTTGCCCAACATACCTAAGACTACTCTGCGTTGGCCAAACCCTTTTCTCTATGGACTTGGACATCGTAAGAAAAGCATTCGCAGCTTGTGCCCAACCTCTGCGCAGTACAATCTCAAAAACAGCTCTACAGAGACGGCTGGCATTCTGCTGGACATAGAGCGATTCCGATGACAAGGAGAAGCTGCGAACGAATGTCCGCGAGATATAACTCTAAAGAATACATAAATCTATTTTGCTTTGGAGCTTTGTGAAGATGAGATGTGTATAGAGAGGTGAAATTACAGACATGAATAAATTGACCAAAACAAGAAAGAAGAAATCTTCTTGGTGGGAAACATACTTGCAAAAGCACATTGACTTTTCCGGCAACACTAGCTAGTCCCCCGCCTCGCAGGGGTAAGACGCAGCCACAGCTTATCAGTTCTTCAAGATCAAGGCACTCTTCTTCACGAACCTGAAGGTCCAAACAGGAAAATTCAGAATTTAGTGAAATAAATAATAAGAAAAGATGCCAAAGTATAAACTATGAAAAGCCGGAACAAAAAGCATAGGTTGTGTTAGCATTTGAATTAGATATGTATCCAATTGTCTTCACCTTCAACTGACTAAATTCCTTTGCCATAGATATCAAAGCTATGACCATGTCATCTGGCATGAAATCACTCAAGGAAACCGGGAGACCTAAAAATCTTCGATTTCACACATACCTGGAGAAATGCGTTTTACCTGTTTCATTTAGCATCTCTATAGTCTCGTACTTGACATAAAAGTTGGATGCGATGCGTCCAAGATCTGTCGCATGAACGTAAGCATTTCTAGAAACTCGAGCGTTTGCAGAATTTTCACCATCATACGCAAGCAACATAAAAGAGTATGAGAGTATGAAGTCGTTTACTTACGTGCTATCAAATCTAATCATTTGATTCTGATCTAATTTCACTGCAACTTCTGTTACCATACGAGTAAGATGTTCGCGCAGATCCGGATCCTGAAAACCCATTGAACAGCCTCAGTAAAATTACAATCACAAAAACTTCCACATACTCTATCCAAAATTGTGTGCGGTAAGCCATAGGCTATAGGGTTTTGCGTAGCTCTAGTATAGTAGTATGTGTAGGTGAGCCATTCAACAGCTTCATCGATGTTTGAAACGGTCCCTGGAGAGATGGGACTGTATAAGAGAAAAGTGAAGTGATAAAAAGAGTAAATCATGAAAAAGTTGGCACTACCAAGAAAATCCGAAACTGATATATTTTGGTCGAACAGTGAGAAAACGACAGAAAAAGCTGCAAGAGACATACCCAGTGCGATTTCTGCATTCAAGTTGTCATGGATGCGTTTGAAAAATTGACTTTCGATCGGAGCTTGCCGTATCAGCATACCAAGATACTTGTCAAGTTTATTTTGCGAAGTGATTATGATACCTGCAAAGGTCAACTGTAATTAAAGCATAGTACACATTTAATGTCAACTCTAAATTTCTACATACCATGTCCTTCATTCTCAAACTGTGGACGACCTGCTCTTCCGAAAATCTGCTGGACATCAAGGACGCCGAGGTCAGTGAACTGTCCCTTTTCGGCATCAAAGACTTCTGTGCCCTAAAACCAAAAATTACAAAAATCAAAAGATGTGTCTCATGACAACGCCCCAATCCTTGATCAAAGAATGTAAAAAATCTTACCCGAATGACTACAGCATGTGCAGGTAGATTCACTCCCCATGCAAGTGTTGCAGTACAAAAGAGCACCTTGAATGATAGGATAATAAGAACTACGGAAGGAAAAAGAGCATAGTGAAAGAAAAACCGGTTACCATTATGTGCCCTTGATGGAAAACCCTCTCCATCAAAATACGATCATGCCGCACAAGTCCAGCATGATGAACTCCAAGACCAAAGCGGAAAAACTCAAATAATTTGTGATTCCTTGACGCTTGTACCTAAATAAGATAATTTTGCATTATACAGCTTTCACCTTTGAGATACTCACCGATTTCTCCGCTTGCACATAATTTTTCGTGCCAGCCGTTGGAGGAACAAACAACTCTAGGTGACCCTAAAAATATCAGCTACCAGAGATAAACCACAGAAAAACGGAGTTACTTACAAGTTGAGCAGCTCGTTCGCGGAAAGCCTGCGCCAAATTTGCTGTCGCGTTCCTTGCATGGACAAATACCTGTTATTTTGAAATTCTTGCTGCTCAAAATAAAAGCATTCTTTCACTTACCAACACTTGATGACCTTTCCTTACATAGCTCAAAACTTCATCGTAGCAAACGTCGTTCATCGCTTCTTGTACATCTCGAACACCACCAACTTTCTTGACGCCGATAAACCTTCAAAGTTTACTACATAACTTTGAACTTTAAAGTTTCACTAGTGGAAATTATAGACACGACCAACTGGTAAAGATATCAAGGAAACCCAAAGCCGGCAACCTACTTCTGAGTGAGTGGAACAGGCCGAAATCGCCCATCGAAGTAGAACAAACCCTTGTAGGGATTGACACGTAGGAATCGAGCCACATCAACATAATTGGGTAATGTAGCTGATAGACCTACTATGCGTATACCTGTCTGTGACATTTCGACCTAGAAAAGAAAGGTGCTGAAACCACATTAGAATTTTTGTGTCATCAGCTTAGCTTACCTGCCTCAACGTTCTAGCAACTATAGTTTCGATAACCGGACCACGATCATCATGCAGTAAGTGGACCTAAAATTTGAATATGAAAACACGAATGAGACAAAAGGTTTGAAAGACACTCGCCTCATCAATAATCAGTAATCTCACTAAAGATGTTAGAGAATTGTCGCTAGCACCTTTTCTGGTTACCACATCCCACTTTTCGGGGGTAAGCACCAACATCTACAAAATTGGTTTCATTTAAAAATATCAAAAATGAAGAAAAATATTCACCTGCGTTTCTGATAGCTCCTTCTTCGTCAAAGTGGTATCACCAGTAAGCTCACGAACTTTCAGCCCTAAGGGTGCTAGCCTTTTTCCAAAACCGTCTGTCATCTCAGTAGCCAGCGCTTTCATAGGAGCTATGTAAATGATCTGAATTAAACCGGAAGCATCGAAGACCGTATCGGTTACAGAAAAAGCGGACAAATGGTTGGATTACAGTAACTGCAAACCTTAAAATCGTCCTTAGCAATTTCTCCATTCAACATTCTATGCTCATGGATAGTGTTGAGAATTGCAAGCATGGCGATGTTCGTTTTACCTGAAAAATACTAACTTTTGTAAAAAAATGCCATGAAATGGCCGATGCAAATTTTAGGTAAGGAGCTCGAAAGTGCGGTGCCGCCATACCTACCAGCGCCAGTGGGTGCACAGATGAGCAGGTTTTCCTTGGTCTTGTATGCCTGCTCAAAAACAATACTTTGGATCACATTAAGTTTCTCAAACCCTTGGAATCCGAGTTGTCCAAGCTAAATCAAAATCTATCAGTACTCGAATGCGTTAGAAGTCGACTAACATCATCCATGTCCTTGACAAACACGTGCTGTACATCACCAATCGAGCCAGCATTCATTGGCGGCACTTCGACGTCTTCATGTGTACGGAAGCTTTCTCTCGTTGAACCTTCTGGTAACGCGTACTTAAAATTTCTCATGAAACATTAAAATCAGCATTAAATCATAAGAATCACCTTCATGCCATTTATGGTTATCATGGCGGACCCGCTATCTATGCAAGCGTCGAATACGTAAGGATAGATTTCACGAGGACGATTCACACCCTTCATCGTGGGAGTCCACTTGAGCTGATCCATTTCGAGCTGTCTAAATGATCTCTGTCTCTCGGTTTGAAATTATCAGGTTGGTCCGAAAGTTCTGTCCCTCCATTTTCAAAAAATCATAACTTCTTCCTAACACGATGTTTTTGCATGGCTAACCATATTGAAAAGAGCAATTCATGCACTTTCTAAAACTACCTTGGCTGTTATCTAGTGAGCTCTAATTGCAGAGATAAAATTGGGGAAATGAAATAACTTCAGGTTCGGAATTTTTAAGCAAGCCTGTTAAAAAATGCAAAACTGTGCCATAAAATCCGAAACAGCCAGTAACCTAGATTTTCTGATCCCCTCTTTCTATACAAGCAAAATTCGCGCTGATGGAGCTTTTCTCAGAAAAGTTATTATTTTCAAGAAAAAATGCCAAAAAATCAGTTTCTTAAGAAAATTGATTTTTACACATTTTTTTTTCAAAAAATCATAACTTTTAAAGAAACAACTCGATCAGCACGAACTTTGACAGCTGAAAAGAGGGAATCAAATAGTCTAGGATAGTGGCTGTTTTGGAATTTATGGCACAGTTTTGGAATTTTTAACAGGCTTGCTTAAAAATTCCGAACTTGAAGTGATTTCATTTCCCCAATTTTATCTCTGCAATTAGAGCTTACTAGATAGCAACCAAGGTAATTTTAGAAAGGGCACGAATTGCTCCTTTCAATATCGTTTTAACCATGCAAAAACATCGTGTTAGAAAAAAGTTATGATTTTTTTGAAAATGGAGAAACAGAACTTTCGGACCAACCTAATAGAACAGGAAAAATTCTAGAATGAAAGTAACAGCTGACGAAATGGTGATGGTTCTGAGTAATCCAAAAACCAAAAACTTACCGCATCCGAAGTATCTCTCTTTGTGCCAATTCAAGCTCTAGTTTCTCTTCATCACCAAAAGCATGTTGTATTCTGAAAAGAGTTCAAGATATATGCAAAGTATTCTTAACTAAAGTCTCTGCTAGATGTTCAGTGCTTGCTTTGGGAAGAAAAACCTTATTTTCTCCATCTTGTACATACTCAATCAGCATTGAGCTATGCAAAGCTCTAAACATCAATACGTTTATAAAAACAGAGGAAACATAGATAAAGTTTCTAAAGGCTCTACCAGCTACTTAGAACTAGCTAGGAGAAAAACAATCAACCATCAACAAAATAATCACAAAAAATTAAGAGGTGAGGGGATCTTTCGAACTGACCGATTCAACTCTTTCTTTGCTCGTTTCTGTTCCTTTCGAATTTCTCTTCGCATATCCGCCTCAGCTTTAGTTTGTACCAGTACCTGTTGGCAGTAGATAGGACCATCATTTCGTAATGGTACCAGCTGAAAAGTGGGAACTGTTAAAACTACATATCTGTTTAACAACATGTTCTGTCCCGCCAATACAGATTTTCAGAAGGCTAGAGATAAAGTGGAGCGGAATGATAGAAGAACTATCAGATAAGGCACCAAATCATTTTCAAAAGTCAAAACATCCACGCAAATATAAGCGTGATTCATTTCTACTCTATGTCGTTACTGTACAGTCTACTTGTTCTAAGCTCAACAATCTCTTTTGCATATGAAGCAAATTTGCATTGCGACAATGGGCTATTCTGCGGCAGAACACCACAGTGCGTCAATTTACCTATTCTTTCATTGAAAGAAGACAAACAACTCATTCAGTCGCACGTGGCTGGCCCGACGAAAAGTAGCGCAACGTCTGGCTGAGTTGCATGAGCTCTCCCAGGGCGAAGGATTCATTTCGAAGTACGGCGAATCAGATACAAAACTGGTTCAGGTGTCATCTGTGGCAAGTACTCTCACCCAATCACATTTAGAAACTCGTCAATTTACCCGATATACCAGCAAAAAGACATGATGTGCAATGATGAGCTGTATGCAGGATTTCTACTTGACGATTTCTCAGACCAATGGAATGTGAGCTGCATTTGGGCAGGTATGTGTTTCACAATTTTGAGCTCATTTCGATTCCAATTTCAAGAGGTTCCTCGCTTTCATGTATAAGATGATTCCATATCACAAATGTTCAGGTGTGGGTATAGAAATCGCTTGTGCGCCCGTACCTCCGAAATACAATAGAGTAGCCTTCGCATACATTGCGCCGCCAGAATGGCAGAGACGGATAAACGTGAGAGAGAACGAAAATGTTTTTGCAAGGTCATTATCCACTACAAACATTTATAGGCTTTTCGTGTCAAAATCGGATGTTCACCAGAAAGAATCAATCAAACATCTCAGGTTGTAAAAATAGCTTCCTTTGATGACTGAAATATGGAGATCGCCAGAAACTTTCAGATCCCCGAGCTTTTCATTTGCAATGAGCGATGTATTCAAGGAGGTATTGGGTTCATTCCAAGTCTCATTATGCTCTTATCTTTCTCGGCAGCATTCATCAAGAACTGTATAGTGTGAACTGTGAAATTACCACTATAGATACTCATATCTTCTACTATTAGAAATATGTAATAAAAGCTTGAAAAAAAAACGATCTTGATATCAAAAATGCATGAAAAAAGAAGGTTAATATGATGGTAACCCAACTGACCTTTTCCGGAGCGTATTTTGACAACGTGTTCGCCTTGTCTTTTGCCGCCTTCATCTCATCTGCTAGTTGATAACGGGCTTCCAGTATTTGACCCACCATCTCAAACTGTTCAAATCCAAGAAGATCGATCAACTATAACACAACAAATCGACCAACATGAGATGCAACATTTTAGATTGGCAAACATCACCTCTCCTTGCAGCTCGTTGCTAGTTTTGTCTGATGCAATCAGATCAAAAAGATGTTTGGTGATTGTTTCATGATTTTCCGGGAAGAATATCAGTAACGAATCCATGATATCAGCACATTTGAGTACAGCGCCACGGTGTGACGATGAGGGCTAAAATACAGGGTGTCCCAAAAAATGTGAACACTGTTTGATTGTTAATAACTTCCTTGCTTTCATGTCTTCCGCCGAGCATGAGGCATCATTCTATAGAGTGAGGTTTAACTTATAACTTTTAACTTATAACTTATAACTTTGTTTGACCTACAGTATAGAGCGAATAGTCGACCACTCTTCATTACTGTAGCATTACGGTAGGAACTTCGACAAGGATTTTAGGCCATTGTAGGCCATATTCTGCCCCGAAACGAAACCAAACAACCCAAAAACTTTTATACTATGGTAATGGAAGAAGCTCATTTCGAATATAAAATTTCCATTTTATCGCGATGCTTCTTTCCAAGGTTATCCCAGCTAAACGTAATAATGAATTTCCAGCATTTGTCAGAAATGTGACTACACCGTCAAAAAAGCTCAAAACACTCGTAAAAACTTGTGTAATGGAATCAGCGTGCGCGAAAACCCTAGTACACGATTCTTAGACTCTTTGAAAAAATTTTGTTAAATGGCATATCTCACATTAGATCCACATACTAGAACTTCATACCGTAATCCTACAGTAACGAACAGCGATCGGTGATTCGCTTCATACTATAAATCTAAGTTGAACCTCGTTCTACAAAATGGTGCCTCAATTCGGCGAAAGACTTGAAAGCAACGGAGATTAACGATAAAACAGTGTTCACATTTTTTTGGGACACCCTGTATAGGCCATAGAAAAGACCTCTATTCAAATCATTACACACTTCCCCAGCGATATGTACGGTTTTATGATAAACCTGATCAATTTCTCCATCAACTACGGCTATATGGTTGACACTAATTTGCTGTGTAGGAGCTACTGGTGCAGAATAGCCGTGACGCTCCTGTTCAGGACTTCGCCATTGAATCTCAGTGGGAGTAAAGGACCTGAAGAAAGATGATTGCAGATTTGTGGGGTCTAAGGAAAGTTTCGTAAATTTTCGCATGAATTAGAAATGATAAAATTTTACTCAATTGAAGCTGAACTATATAAATAGCCACGGTTTTGAGGAAGGACCGAAGATTTAATTTCCTTGATGCAAAATCTGACTAAATTCGTATAAATTATGCAAGATGTGACAAAATAAGACTAGCTTACACTTCGCCTTCCTCCTCGAGCCATGATGTAGACGGCATTTCAAGAGCTGACAATGTCGACTTCACCACGTTGGACACTAGATCCGATGGCTTAGCCCTAAAATTGTAATTCATTGATTTTGCCAAAAACAATGTGTGTGGTGATCAAAAAAAACTGATTCGAAATCTCATGATGACAGAACTTTTCTCTTCTACCAGATGAAGGGTTTCCATCATAAGAGAGAGCAGAGGGATAAAAGTTGACAGAAAAAAGGACTTTGAGTGAAAAATGCGACGCGGTAGAAATCCTAAAGTCACATACCTTGACGTTTCAGCATCTCTTCCAACTACGATCACGTCTGATAACTTTTCAGGATCAGCAGTGACCGAATTCCAGGATGTTGCTATTGCTTCATGTAGCTGTTTCATCCCAACGAGTGAGCGGATTTCGGACACCACTAAAAAAGCAAATGATGCAAAACAATTTTGCAAATGCCATGAGGCTCACCTTCGGCTATGAGCTTCGTTGTCTCTTCGACATATTTGTCGGGTGATGGGAACAATCCAGTTTTTGCTTGCTCTCGTTCAATGTCAGAAATTGAACCCTTTACATTTTTGAATATATTTACAGCCATAAGTAATCGGTAATAAACATGAGATACGTCTAAAACCAACAAATGACTTAAGATTAAGGCAAGGAGATAATAATAACCATACCTATGACCCGGAGGATGTTTTCTAGCAGTTTCAGAGCATTACACAATTCATGTTTCATTAGCCGATTTTGTCCCCTCATAGCCTCGAGCAGATCGGATCGAAACCTTAATCGAGTATTCCTTGGAGAGAGCAGAAGTAAAGAGAATGGTGATTACGAAGAGTGTACCTATCTATTAAGTGGTCGTGCTCTTCAGGATTCTCTTTGTCTGCATTCGCTAAAGCAAGAGATTTTGGATGATGTGGGAGAAGCGAAACCATTGCTGCGTTCGTACCCGAAAGCTTTCCTTAAAGTTACCTCTGTCAAAATTCAAAAGAGTAAAGATGACAAGTGGTGAGAAAACTGCATAGCGCTTGAATACAATATAATTAGATTTAATATGACAAAATATCAAAACGCGAGAAAGTAAAACTAACCACGACCTTGTCCATTCTCTGCGTCTGGTTGTTCTAACCTGGTTCGAAAGTCTTTAGTCCTCTTCATGAAATCTGCCACTTAAACGCAGACTGCGTTCGAATATCCTGAAGCCAAGAAGAACTTCTACACAAGAGCAGAGACAATGATAACCCGCAGATGTTGGCTGAACGTCTCGTTTCCGCAGTCGCAGAACAGCGGCGTTTTGAAAAATTGCACATTTCGGCAGTAACAGCCGCTGTTGCCTACTCTGACATCCTTTCGCATAGACCTGCTGCAAAAATTATGATCCATAATAGAAGGGAACTTCTTCGTACAAGTTACGGTGTTGAGGCCGATAGGTCAAACCCATCACTTCAGGCAAAAGCGTTCTGTATAAATTGACCCCATAGGTACCACAACGTGGCTGCCTTTCAGTCGTTTTAGCTGTTGACTTTAGCAAACCAGAGGCGCTTATTCGAACCTGACATGTTGAAACGATCGAAAGGCAGCCATACCTATGGAAACAATTATGGGAGATGCGCGATAAATAAACGTAACAAGATGAGGCCCTTCAATCGGTAATCCATCCAAGGGTACTTCCACCACACCGCGTTGCTCACAAACGTGCCTTCTTCCAGTTGTTCTTATGTTAGTCTTATCCTTCTCCTGCTTTCATGTGATTCGTTCAGCATCTATCGGCTTCGCTGATGGACCTTAGAGAAGAAACGAGTCACGAAACCTAGGAAAGTCATCACCAATTTTATCACATTTTTCGACTCGAGTAACTACATGCTAAACTGGAGCGCGGCAGTCAACAGCTTTGGCAACAAATTGTCACAGTCCCTTCCCGATATGGCTGCGGAGGGGGTGGTCAAACAGCTGGATTCTAATCAGTCTAGTAAAGTCCCTGTGCGTAGGGTTAGATGGCGTTGATTTCCACACTACAAAGGCCTTCTCTTGATCGACAAAGGTGTGCAGGATAGCTGGTGTTCCCGACAGACCCAGAGATAGCTTGGATGTGGTAAATGCAGCCTTTAAAGGCACCGTCCACCCAAAATGGAGTCGATGAGATTTTGATGCCTAACGGTAGGGGCCCCCAACTGTATACTTATCCAATTCACGCTGGCAAAAGTTGCTTCCGAAGCGAGAAAATTGCTTCAAAATCGCTCGGATGACAGATCCGCCACGTTCGCTCCTCCCCTTTGAGGGGCGTGCCGTTCGTCCCGCCCATACGTGCGCGCCCAACCAATCACTGTACCGAAGAAATTTCTATGCGGGTTCTGAAAAAGGAAGTTTTTCGTGGTTTTCGCGGATTTTCGACTTGAATCAGAATCAGGGGTATGAGAAGGCCCTGGAACGCCGAAAACATGAAGTTCGATTCTGGGTGGACGATGTCTTTAAAGGCAGTGTCAGCACTAGGTGGTTTTGGGATTTCATTCCCATGCTAGAGTGGCCCCCTCAGACAGGGTGGAGGACTATATGTCGCCGAATTTGGAAGAGTCCCGCGCGGATTCCCTGCAGGAACGCATGTCCGCGCATGTACAAGGGTGCGAATTTGTGGCAAATGACCGCGTAGACCGCCCTTTTTCGGCGACATATAGTTCTCTACCCCCCCCCCCCCCAGACACAACATCGCGCAAGTGCGACGTCATAACGGTCGACCTAAACAAGGAAAACGACCGGAAAGTGGGGAAGCTTACGCCTTGGGGCGGGGTCCTCCGAGCTGTCCGAATTCGTGCTATGCGGCAGATTACGCATGCCGTCACAGTTAAAATGTAGGGTCCTGCAGCGACTCTGCGTCTCTGCCTTGGTGGGGACCCTCGAATTTCAAATTGTGCGGCTTTGGAAAACGTATGTTCTCGCCGTTTTCGCGCCTTCTAATGTGGATTTTCGGATTCAGCGTTGCGGATAACCCCCGGTAAGGGGATTTTCTAGAATTTGAGTTTTTGCCCGGATACTGCCTTCAAAGCCACTTTGCGGGTAGAGGAACGAACGCCTCAATTAGGCATCGCCTCCGCGGGCTGCTGGTCCTTTCGTCCTACTGTTGTGCATCGTGTTGGGACCAGTGGTCCGCGGAGGCGGTGCCTAATTGAGGTGTTCGTTGCTCCACCCCCACTTTGCCAGCAGCTATTGCCAGGGTCGTCGGCGTGACCGAATATAATATCACTAGTGCGCTCTCTAGTCAACGAATATATGATCACTAGTGTCGTGCGCTCTCTGGTCAACGACGCCGGACGTATAGCCGATCCCTTAGGCTTGATACATACCTAGCGTCGGGTGTCTATACGTAGCGGTGGCAGCAATGCGATTTGTGCGTATTGATTGCAGCGGAGTGACGCTGCTGCCTCCCGCTGCAGCAGCTAACATGGAAGGTCGTGTCCATACCTAACGAGTCATTTTTGAGCAGCGCTGCGCAGCGCTGCTCAAGCTGATCAGCGCTGCAACGAGGTTTGCAGCTGAGTTACGCTCACTTTTTCTGAGCTTATCTCAGCTGCTGTGAGCTGCAAACAGCTGTTTTGGCTCGAAATTACCTACTTTTAGCAATTTTCAAGCTCTGACTAGCGTTCTGAAAACAAAGTCCGTCTTTATATTGCGTGAGCAAGTCATGAATGCAACCTAATACCGTTTAATTGGGAAGAGGATATGGGGAAATATTAAGGCGCACTGGAGGGACATACTCCATGAAATTGAAGAGAAATGAAGTAATTGATACTGACTACACATTGGCAATAATTCAAAAAGCTGACAGCGTATTCAGATAAAATTTGGCCTCCAATTGTAATATAATAATGGTTGACCCCTGTTAGAGATTACTTATGAGTGACTTTGAATCAGTAACGACAATGTTGGACCTTTTTATATGGGCATTCTTCCCTACTTACAGCAATATCTTTCTTTAACTAAAGGTTTATTAACAAGAAAGGATATTATAGGGCAGCACAAAGGGTGCAGGATAGAATACATCAAGACAGAGCTAGGATGTGAAATGGAGTTTAAACTACATCAATAGAGATCTAAGAATATAGGGAAACTTGAAAGTACAGAGAGCATATGTAGCAAGAAGGAGGATAATTGAAGAAATGGGATACAGATAAAATAAAGATGAAAATGAGTTGATGGTTATCTATCGCTGAGCCGGACGGAGCCGGCTAGCTCGGTGCCTCTCTCTCTTTGAGGGCGGGACTTAGTTGCTTATATAGTTGGCGAGGGGCGGGGCAAGAGTGCAGGGACCAATAGCGCATTAGCATATTTAGCGCTTTTCCTACACAATGGACTGCAATCATGCTCGTAAGAGCTACCTTTCTATTCTAAATTTAGTGATAAAAAATGAAAAATGAAGAACTTCTCATAAAAGTATGGACCAGATCCAGCTTAAAATATGCTATTTCTCTTCTTTTTGACGTAATAAAACTCGACATAAGCGCAGTTATTTTTGATGGTTTCTACACTCAACATGCATTCAAGAAGCAGCCGAGCGCAGCGCTGATCAGCCGGAACAGCGCTGCCTTCGCTGCTCGCTGGTTTTGTCCATACCGAAGCAGCGAGGTACAGGGGCTTTCTATCTGGGTAGAGGAACGAACGCCTCAATTAGGCACCGCCTCCGCGGCCTGCTGGTCCTTTTCGTCCTACTGTTGCATGTCGTGTTAGGACCGGTAGTCCGCGGAGGCGGTGCCTAATCGAGGTGTTCGTTCCTCCACCCGGGCTTTCAATCTGAGTGTCACGGTCGACGTGGTTCACCGCCTCGAGAGCCGCGTCGCATGGTTCTCTCACGTGGCATAATGCCGCATCCGCTAAGGTCTTCGCGTTATCCGGTGCGGTAATGTACCTCGTGAGAGACCCAAGCGGCGCGGCTCTCAAGGGGGTGAGCCACGTCGGCCGTGACACTCAGATTGAAAACCCCTGTATGTATCAAGCCTTAACCCCCCGCAGACTCCGCTCAAAAGCGCTTAAAAGGGCCCAAAGCGCCCAAATTACTCTAATCTCTCTTCACTTTCTCTGTCTCTCTCACCGAGAAAGTGAAGAGAGGTTAGAGAAATTTGGACGCTTCTGAGCGCTTTTAGGCGCTTTTGAGCGCTTTTCAGCGAAGTCTGGCCGGGGCCTTACGGAAACATGTGCTTAGACGGCTCTGCCTAATCGAGCGTTTCGAAGTAATCAACATGATGACCTTTGTATATAGACAGCTTGCAAAGCACACTTAGGAAGCAGCTCATTATTCTGAATCTTGTCTCTTGCCTTTCTTGTATAGCAGAATTGTGCGAGATGTCCTCCACTGGTTGGGTATCCCTTCCTTCTTTATACATAGAAGTTATCTAGAAGTCAACAATTCTCTGTACTTCATAGAAATATTTCTGTGCTCAATGAGCTCTTCCATGTGTGCTTAAAAGCAGCGGCTCGGCAAAATGACATTTGGGACTGACCAAGTCTTTAAGTTTATACTCTGAACTACTAACCAAAAGGCTCTGTAGAAAGTGCTAGATCCTATTTTCTTCGTGGAGAACACGTCAAACAGAATACTCTTTGAAAAACCGGATTCAACCCTGTATATCTTCGTTCAAATGTCATATTACCACATTGCTTGCTCAAAAAGCCAAACCAGAGACAGCCGAGTAGGACGGTACATACAGTGCCCCTGCGGTGCCCAATTTTTCCGCTGAAATTTGCGAGTGAACAAATAACTAAGCCTGAAACGAGGTAGATATATGTCGCTAAAATGGATGGTCCCATGTCGACGTTTGCAAGAGACCGCGCAGTCATACATATTACCGACATTACGGATTTCTGTCGCCAATAGGCTCCACCCCGCTCGGACCAGCTGTCCAGGCGGGTTGGAGCCTATTGGCGACATGTAGTCCTCCACCTCCTAAAACGCCGGCATCTGCACATGCAAACTGCCAGCATTCCAAGCGTAACTATTCGTTCCCGAGGGGTGTATCCCATTACTTGTGGCTGTCAATTATGCAGATGCCGCGCGCGACAGGCTGGCAGTAAATAGGTCCGCAGAAAACTTGATTAGCACACTTGCAAGGCATACTATTCTATCTTTTGCAAAGGTTTTCAACACCTTGATATCAATTTATAGCGTTTGATGGAAGTTTTTGTGAGAATAAAGAAGGATAGCGAAGGGAAATACAGAAATTACTATGTCCCTGACCACGAAATGTGTACTTTCTATTCACTATATTAAGGTAGTCTCGTAACATCTCCTATGGAGCATTTCCTGTGGCCCTGCTGCCTCTCGCTCGGGTTACTGTAACGCCGCATCGCGGCAAATTTCACTTGACACCCACAAGTAATGGGCGCCCCCCGTTCCCGAGCAAATTTCACCGCAAAACTTCGGCGCTGCAAAGCTACTATACCCGACAAATCTACGAATATAAATGACCTTCCTTATCTAGGTTAACTCAAAGTATGATACAAATTTATTACATAAATCTCTACACAAATACGCATAGAAAGAGACCCTACACATCTATATAAAGCTGTGTACGCTCGAGAGAGTGGCAACTAACATAGCGAAACACTAGAAAACCACAACTTTTATTGTGAGCGAGGGGGCCGGGAGCATCGCTTTCTTAGCCCTTCGAAGCGATAAACGCAATGAGGTCCACAACGCGGCATGAATAACCAAACTCATTGTCATACCTGTATTGAAACCACTTAGTATTAGAAGATAATCTGCAAAGGACTCACCATGCGATAAGCTTGACGAAATTCGGGTTGAGAGAGATGCAAGCTCCCGCATCGAAGATTGAAGAGTTGTGGTCACCGACGAAATCAGTCGATACGACCTGATCCTCTGTGTATCCCAAGATACCCTTCATTGGACCCTCAGAGGCTGCCTTGACGACCTTAAACAGATAATTCATTTCAAGAATTGAAAGGCACACAACAAACCTTCTTGATGTCATCCATCGCAGCTGGTTTCTCCAGACGGCAAGTGAGATCGACTACCGAGACATCAGGAGTTGGTACACGGAAGGCCATTCCAGTAAGTTTTCCGTTCAAAGATGGGATGACCTTGCCGACAGCCTTGGCAGCACCGGTAGATGCAGGGATAATATTCTGCCCTGCACCACGTCCATCACGATAATGCTTTCCAGATGGGCCATCGACTGTTTTCTGCGTTGCCGTGGTGGCGTGGACAGTAGTCATAAGTCCTTCGATGATTGTGAAGTTGTCGTTGATAACCTTAGCAAGTGGAGCAAGACAGTTGGTGGTGCAAGAAGCATTACTGAAATAGAAATTGAGTATACTATGAATCAAACCCATAAAAGCGTACCTAATAATGTGGTTTTTGGCAGAATCGTACTTTTCATGGTTCACACCCATTACAAACATTGGTGCGTCTGCAGATGGAGCTGTGATGACTACCTAGAATACTGGTTGAAACAGGATAAGCGTCCACGGTGGCGAAGGTTCTACCTTTTTAGCGCCTCCTTTCAAGTGAGCAGATGCCTTTTCGATGGTAGTGAACACACCTGTAGATTCAACAATGATTTGGGCTCCATCAGATCCCCATGGAATTTCAGCAGGGTCCTTGCTGAAAAACTTCACAAATCATAATAGTCAGGAAGAGTTTTGCAAGCATTGTCAGTTGTCTGTTTTTGAATTGAGGATTAGTGAACAATTTCTCCTTTACTCTTCTCCTTTTCCAGCAAGAATTTATTCAGTACTAGCTGATCTACCCGGTCTTGCCCGGCTATTTCAGTGGACATATAGCCTTGCTTTAAGCTACAGATTCAAGACTTTTTGTGGTCCTTCTGCCTGTTGTAAGGCTTAGTAAAGGCTACTGCCCGGCAAAGGAGCAAAAGCACTTTTAGATGTGCGAGCGCGATAGCGCATGCGTATCTTCATCGCTGTGACATTGGGCTTTATTCGCTTTGCGAGTAATGAAACCGAGTTGTGCCCCTAGATGCACTTCCGCCTGGCGGTAGTCTTAAGCAAAGTAACGTGACATGGTCTCATCATCTGAATTGCGAACGTCCTCTGGTAAGCTGATTGATCAGTGCGATCGCAATATAAACTTTATTCTCAGCAGCGGAGAGAAATGGATCAATAGATTATAAAGGACATATTAGTAAGGAGTCAGCACTAAAGCTGCTGAGTTCTCCACCACATTGTTGAAAATTCGTACACAGACATGTGGAAACTTTATAAATTCTTCTGCGAAAGAAGAGTGATTCATTTTGACATGCTCTTATAACGTAACGGTTATCTCCCTCATGTCGCAAATCACTTCATTTTCCGAGGATATCACTGCTTCGCGGTATGTTGGAGGCAAGCTGTCTTTGTTACTTGCTTAGCCGCCCTAACTCGTTATATGCGACATTGTTTCGAAACCACCCACCAGATATTTAGCTGGCAAAAGGCGGATTGCAGATTGCAACAAAACTCAGTCAAGCACCAAACTACAGTCTGTCCCAATCCCAATCATGCCAAAATTGGCATGGCGGGAGTCCGCGTCGCTAGGGTTTTGCGTTACGCCTACACCTGCTTGCCTGCTCTCTCTTCAATTACTTTGCTCTCTCCGACATTGCGCATATACAGCTCAAGTTACTCGCGCTGCGTGCGCGCAAATTCAGCAAACGGTTTGGCCTGGTCACGATTGGGGCAGACTGTAACGCTCATCTTTCTCAGTGATCAATCCATTTTTGACATATCTATTCCCTGCAGAAAGCAAAAGCTTTCTTTTCTCCCTCCTATACTTGTCGGAAAAGTTGCCCGTTCAGCTACGATTGTGACAATGCTCATCGCCGCTATCGTATCAGAATAGGTGCGTCTGCGACAATGAGAGGGTACGAAAGGGACACAGTAGCATTTAAATTGAAAAGTTTGCATTTACGCATACGTTATATACACCGAACTCAAAGCTTACCTCAGTAAGCTTCTTCTAACCGAGCTCCTTAGCGAAGAACAAAAATGAGGCCTACTGTATTTATTTGGATGTAAATGACTTGTTTGGTTGATAAAGGAATCATTTTCATTGCAAACAGTCAGAAATCAATAAATCGATAGAATGGCCCGGCGAATCGCCGCGGAAAGTAGCTCTAAACATCCGCCAGGGTCGAAAACATACGTGTGCGAAGTTTCAGCCGGATCGGTTCAGTGGCGCGCGTTTCTATAACGAACGAACAACTAAACGAACATCCTTGCAGACATTGAGTTTTATATATATACCAGTGCGTCACCTCTGCTTCGCAGAGGTTCGCACTGGCTCTACTATCTATGTGCCTTACTCATTCTCGTAAAATCGTGGCACTGGAACTCACCGCGCTATGCCGACTACCACGAATAAAATGTAAACAACCACTCATTTAGAAAGTCTTTTCGCGTGAGATCGGTGATTTCGAGTGGATGAAACTTTTCGCAGGAAGACAAACGCAAATTTGAATAGGTTTTTGGATTTGTCATGGCTTGGTAGTCGCCATAAAGGTAATGATAACCGTGAGCTACATCTCTGTGCGAAAATCTTCTCAAACGCTTGGCTAGAACCTTGGCAAGTTGACCATTTACACAACCAATTCATTTTGGCGCCGTTTTCGTTATGTAGTAAGCTTTCGACCACTTTTCTGGCTAAACTCCATCGCTTGCACATTTGCTTACCAAACTCATCCACGACTCTGCAAAAAGTGGTGATACGGACCGAATTTTGCGGTACAGAAGCCAGGTGGACCCGTTTGGCGCGCAATTTTTAACGGATCCACTCGACGGATTTGCTCGCGCTTTTGTATATTGGACTTTCATGCTGCTAGCATGCGCCGTGCAAAATTTGGGCTCAGGAGGTTGGCTGGAACATGTTCTACGAATTTCGTAACGGACAGACACACAGACACACAAAAAGACGTAAACAACCCTTAGCCCGTTATTATAAGTCACCAGTGCATCACCTCCGCTTCGCGGAGGTTCGCACTGGCACTCCTATCCGTATGCCTTTCTCATGTTTGCATAATGATGACTTTGAAACTTACCGCGCGATGCTGAACATCACAAATGAATTGTAAACAACTGCTCATTCTTAAAGCATATCCACGTAATATCGGTAATTTTGAGAAAGAAATCTTTTTCGCAAAGGAAAACCTGCGAATTTGAATGAATTATCGAATTTATTTTGGCTTGGTAGTCGTCATAAGGATAGTAGTCACTTTGGGCTACATTTCCGTGCAAAAATCTTTTCAAATTTGAAGTTACAGCCTTGCCAAATCGACTATCTACGCGATCACCACTTTTTGGCGCCGTTTTCGCAGAAAAGCAAACTTTTTGAGCCCTTTTTGGGTTAGAATTCATGAGGCGCAGATTTACTTGTCAGGCAAATCATAGCTTTGCAAAAAATTCAAATCTGGACTCAGTTTTGCCTGCTTAGAGCCGTGTGGATCCGCCTGACGCACAATTTTTGTAACATCAACGCAACGGATCCGTACGAAATTTTGCATGATGAGCCTAAATGCTGGCAAGGTGCTATGACCAAAACTTCAGCTTAAGACATTTGCTGGAACTCGCTGTATGAATTTCGTGACAGACAGACGTACACACAGACACACAGACAAACAGACGTAAACAACCCTTAGCCCGTTATTATTAAGTCATAGATAGATAGATTGTAATTAGAGTACAGGAAGGTCTCGAGCCATCTTCTTGCATAACATATTGTTACGGCAAGATCCGACGAGCAAAGAGTGATGAGCACTGCGCCCATTGACAACAAGATAAAACTACGACATAGACGTCGTACCTGGTGTGCACCTTGATCGTGTGTGTACTCTTGCCTGGCATGCTTACAACAAGGTTACCACCTTCGTCTTTGACTGAGCCCTTAAATCGTCCGTGGGTGGAATCGTAACTGAATAGGTACACCTGGAATACAAATCTTAATCAGGAGTAGAAAATGCTGTTTCAACGCTCCTATAGCTATTCAACTTTACATCATTAAAAAGTCACGTTTACTTAATCTTTAGTTGTGTTGGAAAACTATCACACTGAGATGTAGGAGGATCGGCATGCAATGGGCTTGTAACAGTCGGCAGATCGCGAAGCGATGAGATCGCGTGAAGTATGCTCGAGGCCTTATAAGCAGTGCTCAGGCAAGAAGTCAACTTTGAGATTTTGTGCTTACCTGGGCCTATTCACTATGCTTAATCCGAAAATTAATTCTAAAGACGCGAAAACAGAAAAGGGCTCTAAAGCAGGAGGGAAAGCAACAGGAGGGCGCAGCCTTCCACTCTGAGAAGTCACTCCCCCTGCTTCAGGAGCGATCTTTTCAGCACCGATAAGTTACAAGTTTGCAGTCGGCCGGTGACGATGTTAGGGTAGTTAAGGCTGTCGAATACGAGAGGATCGCTCAGCTGGGACAGTGACTTCACAGAGTAAACCCAGTTCATTTGCTTACTTCCCTCCTGCGTTAGAACATTTCGCCGTTTTCGCGCTCTTCAGTATGGTTTCTGGATTCAGCACGACGAGGCCCAAGTAAGCACAAAATCTCAAAATCGACTTCTTGCCGAGACACTGCCTTCAAGCGGGTCCAAGTGAAGCAGACATCGCTCGCGCACCACTCCGAAGAACCCCCCCCCCCATGACTCCCTCTTCAGAACCGCTCTGTAGATAACATGCATGTTTCGGAACCAGCCCTCCGAACTCTCGGAAATGGTATGCATCTTGTGCTGATGGGCCAGATTTCGTGATCCTCCCTTGTAAGATTGGCATGTAGTTCATCTTGGGTAAGACAGACGTGTGGACCGACTCAGCTAACTTTTCCATAGCTATCAACTGACCCGTTGTCAAGTAAAAACCTTGTATTATAGCTGGTACAAAGTACCTATGCAAACCGCACACCAGCACACATACTCTTTAATCTGAAAACTACGTCAAGAGCAATCAAGACTTCGCTTACCATGTACTTGAGATTGATGAACGGGTCATTGACAGAAACAACTTCGACGTTGTCTTTCTCGACAGCAGCACGAAGCACTAGACGACCGATGCGCCCGAATCCATTGATTCCGATCTTTGGCTTAGACATTCGCTAAAGTAGGCGCTGAAATTGATAAAACTGATTATCTAAGACATGGTGGTCGTCGAGAGATTGTGTTAGTACGCAATATGCAAAAGACACACATCTGTCGGATTACAAACAGTCAAGCATATCTAAGCTATCATCTATTCTACGGCTAAGGACGCGTGACCGCATTGCAGTCAGTCAGTGTGACACACGCGAAAATAAACAAAAAGCGCATACGCTTTTCTACCCCATACACACCCGAGTCCCGCAGATGTGCCATCATGTGCGCCGCCCCGATAGTTTGTGCGCACAGCGCATTGTTACCGGTCCTGGACCGATCGTAACGGCAAATGAACGGCATAGTGCAGACGGGGTAGAGTAGCGAAAACGACAGATAGGCGACACCACTCTCCCACATTACATGTCGATCATCTTGCATTTCGACTGTGAGTTAGTCACGATTGGTCATTTCGGAGGACTATCACAACTGAAATGCTAGGTGATCGACATGCAATGGACTCGTAACAGTTCTCCTGTCGAGGGAATCGCAAAGCGACGAAGTCGCGCGAACTATGCTTTAAGCCATAGGCCCCGGGCAGACTTCACGCGATTTGATCGTCGCGACTGAATCGCGACGAGACAACTGTTACAACATCATTCCATGTCGATCAACCTGCATTCGGTTGTGATACTTTTCCAGACCGAAATTTTTGAATGTGAAATGAAAATGAATGGAAATCTTGGCGATTTGGTCGCGACGATTAAGTCGCGTGAAGTCTGACCGGGGCCATAGGGGTATTCCTTTCCCCACCTCCTGGGCCGCGCTCAAGTCACCAAAAGATGACCTTTATCGTAAATCGAGCCCAGGTTTCGTCCGTGAATCTTCCACAATTGTGAGCAACGTTATCGCGTGCCGATAGTGTCTAAACACGGTCTTCCCGTAGATCTAATGAACGTACAGTGAAGAGTGACGATCGATGTGGTCAAATGAAGATAAAGTGAACCTCACTATGCAAATCGCGTGCTTATATAGAAAACCTACCAATATTCTAGAAGTGGGTTTTGACTTGTCAGGTTGCAAAATCTAGAAGGATTTTACGTGTCATAATCCGTTTGTACTTAATTAGGGGGATGACGCAATTTGTTGCATGGGGTTTCGCGAATCGCTATGCCGCAACGCAACTGCATTGTTTGCAATGTCGCGTTGCGTATGTCCGCCGCGCGACAACATACCATAATTTGGAATCTCTGATGAGGACACCTCTCACAATGATCTAGATAAGCTAGAATGTAAGTTTCAAACACGCAGAGTGTTGTAAACTCAACTGCTACACTGATGGCACATATCGTTCCTTCCGCATCTGAAAGCCAAATTGCTGAGCGAAAACTCGATAGGTTCGCGAACCCAAATTACAAACCTATTGGGTTACTGAACCTTTCTTCGTTGAAAGGCTACTGGTCCGGGGTGGAGGAACGAACACCTCAATTAGGCACCGCCTCCGCGGACCACTGGTCCCAACACGATGCACAACAGTAGGACGAAAGGACCAGCAGCCCGCGGAGGCGATGCCTAATTGAGGCATTCGTTCCCCTACCCACTGGTCCGTTGATACAAAAAGTCGTACTGTATCGCATATAAGAGTGCAGGATATAGCGCACAGAAGTCTCTTACCGTGATAGAAAACCCTCTCAAGGCGGGAAAATATTTCTATTCTCGAGCCATGTTTACAATTTTCATAATGTCGTCTCCCCGGAGTACGTTGGGCGGAGCTTTTGCGGACATTTCAACACGTTGGGGACATGTTAACCCTCTACTACAAGGCATTGCTTTTTGTGATCTCTCGCTGGCAATCCTGCCACGTGTGACAACAGCGTATGAACGTGGCAGTTTAGAGATTACAAAGAACCATGCATTGCAGTAGAGGCTTTACAAGTTCATCAACGTGTTGAAATGGCCGCAAAAGCTCCGCCCAACGTACGCCGGGGGGACGACGATACCTCATCTCCTTTCCACATCTTTCCGACTAATTCTGACTGCGTATTGATGTATATAACTACCTAGATCGCTCAAGTGAATACAACCAGATTTTTTCTGCAGTCAATGTTTTGAAGAGGTTCTCTTTAGAGTGGTAGTCCACCGGAGACAGCTTTAGACGTTTTGCAGCTGTCTCCAGTCTCTCAAGATGACTGAAGATGTCGGCAATCTATGAAACTGCCCACTACCATGGTGTCGTACTATGCCCCAAGAGTTGCTTATCTCCTAATAACGTTACGTTTCTCTATCTTCTAGTCATCACACCTTATCGATTAGAGTGTTGGGATAACTTAATTTATTTAAACAGTATTCCTCACAGTACTTTCGTTCCTAAACGCTGCACTGGGTGCAGAACTGCATGTAATACCTGAAAAACCGGACGGCGATGCCATATCTTTTGCAATCTCGATGAAAGCATTTCCTTCGCTAAGTATAGGCCATTCGGATAATCGTGACGATGGCGCGACCGCGCGTGACTCGCACGGACTCCCGGATGCCGATTTTCTTGGGTTATTTCTAATTTATACAATGGGAGTGACTGAGCCGAGCATTGAAGTGATCCCGTCTTGTATGAGTGTTTTATGCTCCTGTCATTGCAAAGACCGCCAGATCCGTCTTACTTACAATCCCATAAATGAACTATAGAAGACATGAGTGGATCATCATTTTGCCACGTTTTTACGTATGCTTTGCGAGACTTTTACTCTTGAAAAAAAAAGCATTGTGCATATTCCTACTTTCAATGATTTAGGCTAATGTGTGGGAACCTCAACGGTGGTATCAGGTGTGTCAGGCATACAAGGCTGCAGTCGCTTTGCCTGAGTGTAGCGGTACGAGGTAACTTCAATAGAGTTGGTCAAAAACATGTTTATTAGGATTATATTAGGTCGGTGCAAAAGTTTTGTCATTTTTTTCAATCCATCGGTAAACACGCTAGAATGAAGATAAACAAACACTTCAAAATGTATCCGATGCAGAATTTCTCTTTCCAGTGGCTGAACTCACATTGTGTTTCGATAAGAGAGTGATGAGATATTCGTTGGAAATTACAACCTCTCGTTTTCACCATGTCCAATTTTCGCTAATTTTCGAAATTTTTGTATGAGACTTTTGGAGGAGTCCTAATAACCAGCAGATAGGGCAAACCTTTTGCCAACTTACGCAATTTTTTTCTTTTTTTTCAGCTGCTTTTTCAGATTTTTGCTAAATAATTTTCTGAAAGTCTTGTGTTGTGGAAAAATCGCATAACCTGTTATTGCACTAAACACTGCAAAACCTACAGAATACTGAGATTTCAATACTCGATTATTATCGCTGCCATTATAAGGTAAGTGAGCGATTTTCGCTTTAAATTATAAAGATTTTGAAACATAGGTTACGTCAGTGCGCACTCCTGAAATTGAGAAATAATGCGGTTTTCCCCACAAATTTTGTCTGTCTCAGCAAAAAAAGACAAGTGTTAGAAGGAGGAGAAAATTGCATCGAATGGTGGCTGAAGTGTTTAACATTTTATGTTCTACGAGTTAAAATAGGCTGAATGTAAAATTTGCTTACTTCAAAAAATGAATCGTAGAAATTCTGAAAAACAAGCCATAGGGCTACAAAAAATTGCTTCTGTTGGCAAAATGGTTGCCCTATCTGATGGTTATTAGGGCTCCTGCGAAAGTCTCATACAAATTTTTAGAAATTAGTGAAATTTGGACATGGTAAAAACGAACGGTTGCAATTTCCAGCGAATATCTCATCACTCTCTCATCGAAGCACAAAGTGAGTTGAGCCACTGGAAAGAGGAAGAAATTCTGCATTGGATACATTTTGAAGCGTTTGTTTATCTTCATTCTAGCGTGTTTGCCGATGGATTGAAAAACTGACAAAACTTTTGCACCGACCTAATATGACTGATACATAAAGGGTGGATGAGAGGAAGTGAAGCGAGCCCGTCGGCTCCGATGCTCCCACCTTCACTGAGCCTTAGGCGGTGGCTCTGCCTCTCGGCAGCTGATGCCGAGCTGGGTTATTCCCGACATCTCCATTCCCAGGTTAAGCTCGTCCTCGAGCTTATAGATAGCTGGCAAACGTGATGATGACGTTGTCGAGTTTGCGTCTCAAAGGCTCCAATTCGCGGAAGAATAGGTGAACTGCCTAGACCGTCCCGACCTATTCGTCATCATTGGTGGTCATCATTACTTCAAAAAGGTGATCTGGTACTCTACTTTGTTCTTCAAATCTATCTGTAGAATGATCAAAAGTAGATAAATTTATTAGAGGATTTTTAGAGGTATTAGGTTGTGCTACTACAGTACTAGGTTGAACTTCTACTGAAATAGGTTGACTTATCATAGCAATCATAGCACTAGGATCTAATGTTACCGTACTATGTTCTACAGTATCTAATTCAGAGTTAGTTTTTTGGAAGATGAAGAAGAAGAAACAAGTGAGCTGGATGAAACAGAAGCAGGGAAGAAATCGCTTAGCACTGAAGAACAGAAACGACGTAATCAATTGGCAAGAGTTGGACTTTATTTTGTCTTGCTGTTTGCAAAATTCGAGAATGAGCACAAGGTCTACGTTTTATGGCAGCGTGAGCAGTAACTTTAAGAACGCGCTTTGGAGTATCTGAACTATTGTAAGATCAGTATCTGAACTGCTATGAACACGAGTTAACTGTGTTGTGATCTGATGAACAATAACTTTACGAATGCATTGAAGTAAGACTGAGATCAGTGTCGAAACTGCTCATGCGAAAGAAAACCCCAGCAGAAAATTTTTTTGAACTTTGCTTTGTATTTTCAAACGAAGAATTTATATGTGGATGTATTTCATAATTGCTACGAGATGCAATGAAGAAGAGAAGGAAAGCAATCAATTTTCGTGAAAAGCGCACCTCCATCCTATCGTTGCAAGTGTGGTCGTTGATTGGCTTGAGGTTGACAGACGGATAAGGTAGCTTCTTCGAGATACAGCAAGGCTAGATGTGGTTGGAGCGGCAGTAGAGCGAAGGTAGAA